TCGCCAGAGTCGGACCTTCCTCCCCCCCCTCCTCCCCGCCCTCCTCTTCCTCCCCCTCCCCCTCCCCCTCCCCCTCCCCCTCGTCGTGCTCGTCGTCCTTGTCGTCCTCGTCGTCCTCCTCATTCTCGGAACTTTCTTCCTCTTCGGACTCCTCCGACGACTCTTCCTCGCTGCTCGCTCTAGCCCCCCCGCCCCCCGCCCTTCAAGTTCCCGCCAAGGAGGGCGATATGCCTCACACTCACTGCGGTCGTCCTCTTGCTCCTCCTGATGCCGTCAGAACCGCCCCCCGCCTCTGCCGCCCGCCCCTCCTCTTCTTGCTCGCCACGGAGGGCGCCTTGCCTCCCTGAACGCTTCCTCTTACCCTTCCTGGTGCCGCCCGCCCCGCCCCCTGCACCCCCCGCCCCTCCCTCTTCGGGCACGCTGCCCTCTTCCTCCTCCCCAACCTTCCTCGCCGTGAGCACAACCATTTCCGTTCCCGCCACCTTCCCCGTCTCCGTTCCCCTCGCCAACTCCCAATCCTTCTTCATGACGTCTGGAATGCGTGAGTTTCCGCTGAGCCCGGTGGTAGTGGAAGCGTCTCTCGCCGTGTTCGCCCCGATGAAGACGTAAGTGTCCCGCGTACCTTTAATCCCCTTCAGGACCGGCTCCGGCCGATAGATCTCCGTTGGTCCGACGAGCTTCACATACACACGTCGAATGCGATACGGCGTCCACGAGGCGAAGAAGTCAGCTAGCGTCCTGTCTCCGATGCTCTTGAAGTACTCGGCCAAGAAGTTCACCACGCCGGCCGCGCCGGTGATGAGCTTACCCCCTGGCCTGAGCATCTCTCTCTTCATGGCACCCTTGGCTATGGCGCCGATGCCGTCGTGGCTGCCTTTGAAGTGAGACGTAACCGCGAAATGGTGCTCGACGATGTAGCCGAGCTGCCGCACGCTGTTTGACAGAAACCGAAAGTTCCGCTTGCCCTTGTATTGCTTGGCGCAGCCGTCCGTGAAAATGTGCATGCGGGGCGTCCGCTTCTCCTCTCGAGCGGCCGCAGTTGCTGCGCTTCCGTCTCCGTCAAGGTAGTGATCGGCGATTTGACGCATCCCATGGAGGTGGAAGTCGAAAGTCGTGGCGAGGGTCTTCGGAAGCAAAGATCCATGTCTCGGTGAGGTGCACCCTGCCCGCCGCCTTCCAACACTTGCGGGCTGAAGTGTACCACTGCGACCATGAGGGTGGTCGATTCGTGTCTCGCACACGTCAGAACGGATGGAGGGACATGTTCGAACTTCTCGATGAAGTCCACCTCAATAACCAGGTCGCCGTTTGGGAACGTGTACATGTCCTCCCTGTGGCAGTTCCTCCCCCACATGGCCTTCGTGTGGTGATCCATGTACACCTTGCTGTGCTGCTTGAAATCCCTCCAAAGATCGCAGAGCTTGCCCTCCTTGGTCACTAGTTGGTTCGGCAGCGGTTTCTTCCCCTCCCTGTCTAGATCTTCGTAGCGCGTCCACTCCACCAGCTGCTGAGACTCCTCCAGTGCCTTGCACGTGGGAATGCCCCCCTCCCGCCCGAACCCACAGACCTCACAGTCCGAAGAACCGCATTCCGGCTTCCGCCCCATGAACTCACCCGTGGCGTCGGGGTCCCCAGCTCGCAGGTCAACCTTTGGGCACGCGATGGCTTCCGAGAAAGACCCAAGGTTCGACCACATCTTCTTCCACTCGGAGCCTCCATTCTCCACGCTGCACCACCGACAGTTGCACGCGTCACGCCCCTGCACGTCAACCTCACGAAGCGCAGCCAGGTAATAAGTTTGCTGCGTGTGGATCTTGCACGCGCACTGGTCTGTCTTCGGGGAAGTCAAGCACCTGCACCGCGTCGAGAGGAACAGAGTGCGGCCGGGGTCCGCCAGGACCTCGCCGTTCTCCTCCTTCCAGACCCTCTTGAAGTTGATCCAACCTGGCCACACCAAGAACTTTTCGTAGACTGCCTCACCCTGTCCCTCCACGATGAGCTGCCGACGAGGGTGTCCTTTCGCACTGGGCGACTTGGATTCCCGCCAGATGTCCTTGGAGTTCCCCGATGCACGAGATACCTCGTCGGTGTGCCAGAATGTTCCCATGAGCTCCAGCATTTCTGGAGGGGTTGCGTCGCTCCTCTTGGTCCGGGAGTGGAAGTAGTACGCCTTCTCGTCGATTGCCTGAAGTGGAGGGAGCTCAGGCCTCAGCGCTGTCACCCGCCGTCGGGCGACGACGAGGTGCTCTGGGTGAACGCCAAAGATCTCGGACTTGCGCTTGGCTGTCACCTTCGAAGGCCCGTCTCCATCGTACGCAACAGCCGTGAGCAACGTCTGGAACGTTCTCCTTCCCTCTTTGGTTCGCCCTTGGATTGCGGCATCCTTTAAGGCTCTACGACATGCCGATTGGAGCTCCCTCGCTTCCTCCAGCTGCTCTCGAAGCTTGTCAGCGGCGGGCACCTTGAGCTCTGCCAGACACCGCAACAACTCTGTTGTGGTCATCGCTCTCATGGCCGCCACGAATGCTGGCGAGGTGTCACTCCACTCGAATTGCTCTGGTGGCTGGAAGGTTTGAGCGGCAGGGTGGGTCAAGTGCAACGTACAGCAGTGGGGGCATTTGGAAACGTCAGCGCTGGGGTAGCAGCAGAAGAAATCAAGAATGAAAGCCTGTGATTCAATTTTTTACTTCGATGCGAATACCAAATGTACACTCGCCGTAGACAGCAATCGGAAGTTGCGCCAGTGGTGGCATACAACGCATCGAGCGAGAGCAATCCACAACTCTGGAGGTAGAGAAGAAGTCTCGCATCACAGCGAACACTCGTTGTTACCTTCAGCAGTCGGCAGGCATCTACGGTAAAGAGAGCAGACAGCAGTCTACAACCAAAGGTGGTACCAGTACATGCAGGCAACCTTTCAGTTTTGTTTTCCCATACAGCAGTACCCTCAAGGTTGTTGTTTTTTCATCTAGTACAACAGAAGAGGAGAGGGGTTCAAGAGGGGATAGCGAGAGAAAGACAGCAGACAGACCCAGCAGCACCCAGCAGCAGCAGATTCTTACCTCTTCCTCAGGGGGGCGATCGGGAGCAGTCGGCCTTGTAACGCCAGCACGAGTCTTCCGCGGCAACGCCGCTCTCACTGGACAGCTCATCTCGCTGTCTGCCCTCCTGCCGGTGTTGCCGCATCTTCGCACGCCGCTGCTAGGCTGCAGTGTTTTTTCGTATCTGTCCCTTCTCGTCTTCAAGATTTCCTCGGCCTTTTCCCTAGCTTTCGAGCATAAGGCATCCTCGTCATCCTTGGGGTAGGCCACAAGCTGTACGACAACGCGGGTATCCTTCCGCTGGTCCATCAGCTTGGTGGTGAGCTTGAGGCTGGGTCGTGTGGAACCCATTGGTGCGTTACTTTCCACTGCTTGTCTCCCAGCGGTACGATGCGGATGCAGTTGCCCGCTGGGATGCCAGCTCCAGCCCCAGCCCCACTCATATATGGCCCCCTCCCGCGGCCACTTTTGGTCAGACCAACTTTCTGAGTGGCTCTACCCCCCCTAAATCGGCCAAGCGGAGTCGATTGCCGAGGAGAAATGGAGGCGGCGAGATCGGGAATGCGCCGAAAAAAAAAGTTCGGCATGATCCGAACTGATTTTTTTTTATTTCTCTTTTTTCTATGCGCTGAAACGTCGTTTTAGACTTAGAACCAAAAGCGTTTTTTTGAAAAAAGTTTTTTTCGCCGCGGGAGACCCAATTCGTCTTGACCGCGGAACCCGCCCACTGTTAAAGTACAAATATCGTAACTGCAATATTATGAGTTGGTTTGGTCACGTCCTGCGCCGGGCCAGGAAGGAAGAGGAGTTCTCGTCTGGTATCACCCCGGTCTAATTGTGTGTGCATCAATGTCACCCCGCGCCGAGAACACCTGGTCTTCTGGTGTCTCAAAGAATTTTCTCATCAAAAGGCTGATCACTACCACGTTCTGCTGTATGCGAATGTACTGCCAGTCAGTTGGGTAGTACCTGCACTAGGTACAGAATCATTTTGTTTGGTGAATCAGTCTGTGCCCCCTATTTGTTGTAATGTGGCATGTAGCAGTTCGCGGAGCGAAAGGGGCAGAAGCCTGTTTATTAGCGTACAAAAGCCCCAGGCGTTCGACGAAATACATCCATCCGTGGTTCAAAAGTTGTTCCAAAAGTTTGGATCCATCCGGTCTGACCGCTAAAGTATTTTATACTGCCTATGGGCCTACTTGTTCATCCCTGGGTGCTTCACCTTCTTCGTGAAAAATATTTGTGCTGTCCGGGTGTGAGACGATTGTAAATAGTACATGATTCGGAAGTAAATAGCATCGATCGACTGTTGTTGGCGACCCCAATCTCAGCGCTTCGTCCATCTACTACCAAAAAGGGAACGCTACAAGAAGCACGCGTAGATGATGCACATTTTTTCAGTTTTGTTCTTTTTTCGTAGCCGACTGCTGTCTCCATTCTGATTTAGTTGTTACCGCGTAGATTGATTGAGCTTTAGCGTCGTGGAGGGCAAACAAACGCTCTTCGCAATGTTTGTGAGTGTGGTGTTGAAGAAGAGGCTTGACTTTTGCAACAACACCAGCGTCCAATATTCCCCGAAGGCTCAAAACATACACCGACAAGGGTGCTCGACGGAGTAAACTCTGAATCCATCGCCGCCCATCACCGATGATGTCAGAAAAGCCCACGGCCAATCGATGCCCAGTCGGTGTGACGAGGGCTTTTGATGACAGGCCTACTTCTGCTGTATATACCTCTACATGTCACACGACGGCTCTGGTGTCCACCCCTTACCCCCCGTAGATGCTACTAAAGAACCCACCAAGCGCGCACGGATACTTCACCAAGACAAGATGGCATCGTTGTGTGTGGTGGTGTCAATGACACACAACGATCAAGTAGCTAGTGTTGAGGTCTCGTAGACTCAAGAATACCTCACAGAAACAAAGCTACTGGCTACTGATCACGCCGTGTCGTGACAGCCTGCATGCTCGCAGAGATGCACCAAAAGTTGCAAGCCTTGAGCGCAACGTGCGTAGCATACCACCTTCGGTTTGTAGCTCGAACGCCGTTCGATGTCGATCGTTATTCATGAACGGTTCCCTTGCCTTGAAAGCGAGAGACTCCGCGGGAAAGGACAAGCTTCCCGCCCCGCCCGTCGTCTGGGAACACGCACTTGCCTGACTGTCTCTGTACAAATTTGGCAATCCTTTCCGGCAATCTCTTGCAATAACGCTACCCCTTTCACCTGTTTCCGACGCACGGGTAACGCAGAGGATGCTCATTCAGTGACCCGGATGTCTCCGGCGTGTAAGTATGTACCAGTTTTTGACTCACAATCTACGTACAATATCAACGTGGCAGGGGATGACCCCGTGGAGACATGTCGCAAGGACTCTGTCTTCACATTAAACAAGTCCCAAAATAACATCTTCTACCAGTGTCCCTTGCCCAAAATTCTCCTACTTCGAACCACAAACTCGGCCATCGTAAGACTTCTCCTTAGCGTCAACTTCGGTAGACAAGGTTGGTGGGCAGGAATTGACACGAGAGAACCTTGATGACCGCCAGCTTGCTGGCCATTTCGACTCTTGGACTCGCGCCGCTCAACCTCGCGTACCCCGTCTATTAGTTCCGCGCTCTACGCAGTGCGGTCTGCCCTTTCTACGCGGCCTTGCTTGGCAGAGAACCCATCATCGGGGCTATTTTACCTACTTTCAGACACGCTATGACTACGTTCTGTATCGCTCCCCCCTGGGCTTGAAGGATACTGCTACCGCTGCAGCGATTCGACCGGTGCTCGGTACACCATGATTGGACGTGTCCATGTTTCCAACAAACCCGCAACTAACATGCGAGTCAGACCTTGAATGTACTTTTGGCCTTACTCCCAAAAAAGAGACGAGCACCAAAAGACATAAATACATGTAACGCTGATTGCGTCCTATGTTTGCTGTCAGCACGCGCCACCACTACCAATGTTGCACTTGTGACGTTAATCGGCCAGGTGCCCGATTGTTGCCGCGGCTGGTTATCTCGGTCCAGCGACTACACGTACTTCAGGCACGCAATAAGATGACCAGCCCTGTCGCCCTCGTATGAAAGCGATTCGCAGAAACCAGCCGATGCGAAAAAAAAGGAACTCGAAAAAAAAAGAACCGGAGATCGACGCAAGAGGGGAAAACCAAGTGTCCATCTAGCGACCGCTCACCTCGGGTGTGATCGTAAATGCAAACCAGTTCTAGCACTTGGCCGGCACACGAAACGGCACCCGTACGCTACCGACCGACACCCAACACCCGGCCTGCAAATGCCCGCGCCAAACCTGTGAGATTATTCATCCTCACCGCTAGGAAACAATGGGGAACAGCGCAGTGAACCAACGTGCCGCGTACATGCGGTAGAGTGTAGCCCGCGCGCGTTTGCCATCCTTGTTTTGAACGATTGTGCAGGGGTGGTTCAGAAAGAAGAGCTTTCACGCTCCGCACCGCCCGTGCTTCCAAAAACACGAAAAAAAAAAAGAAACGGCTCTCGAAAGTAAGCACATGACGAGGGTCCTTCCAATACAACTCTTGACGGGATGCCTTCAACTTGGTGAGTCTCGCTTGTCCCGCCGTCCGTGCCCCGTCCCTGTCCTGTCTTCAATCGCCCGGCCAAACCTTGCCACCGCCAATCATCGCCCTTAACCTTGTTTGCACAGGGTCTGTTGCATCTGCCCTTGAGAAGCCGTGAGTCTCGAAGCTTGCCTCTCGGTTGAACCAATAGAAGACACTTCTATTTCTTTTAGCCGGTCGCTCTGCTGCCCAGGGTGCTTGGCTGTCTGGTAACGGTGAGAACATTCTCCCAGGTGCGACCCAGGGGGTTTACGATGCGGGGAGAGTGTGCCACGAGCTCCTCCATTGGCAGATACACCTGTAACATTAATGTTGTTGTTGTTGTTGATGATGATATTGTTGTTTTATTCTCCAAGAAAAGGTAGGAAGCACAGACAGTCGAGGCCTCCCAGATAAAATAACGCCCGTGCGGACCGGCAAAATTTCTAAGGCACGCAAGCACGAGACAAAACCAAACACAAGACCACCCGGCGGTTTCCCTGTTAATCTGCATTTGTTTCTTTCGGGGCTTGGCGAAGAGAGGAAGAGAGGCATGCATGTGCCTTGAAGAAAGGCGACGTTGTGAGCATGAACGAACCGACCAATAGAAATGTGTCTGATGGTCCCAAGACTTTAGTTGGAAGAGGAGGCGACACCAACTCTGTCCTCATTAGCTTAGCTGTTCTCACATGAACTCGTGTGTATTATAGTTCTTTCGCGCGACTAATCTCGCGAAGAAATCGCTGACTTGCAAATATGACATGTCAAAATCCAGAGGATACAACACCGCCTGACGCACGTGCCAAGAAGTAGATAAGGAATTAAAAAAAGGGAAAACGACACAACAGGGTATACCCTGGTCGAAAAGCGACACACCTGGGTACACAGTCATTAACAGCAGTAAATGCATTCATATGATTGGTCAGCGCCCAATTTCACCCCGGTACGTCCGAAAAGGCGCAGGGTATACCCTGCTGTGTCTACTTTTCTCACCAACTGTACCCTGTTTTCGGAAGTGTACCCTGACCTGACGGGAAATAAGACCCATTCATCAATCATTTCCCCCGCAGGAATCTTCCCAACTCCTTTTCCCCTCCAACCATGGGGTACCTTCCCACCCAATAACAACCATGGCAACGCGGCAGGAATCAGTTTCCGCCCCTGCCAAACAACACCAACCATCAAGTCTTCCGCTCTAAATCAACAATGGCCGGGCACGACCCCAGCACAGCAGTTGTTCCGTTTGGAAACATGCACACACGTGTACAATACCCCGTGCACCACTGCTTGCTGCAGTCTATCTATATGCGACATGCACGGGTCACGCTACGAAAGCGAGACCGATCCAGCATGGTTGACATGCATATATATATATGCATGTATGGACACAGCACTACAACGGTAACGTTGGGCGCCACCACTCCCTCCTGCCTGTGCCGTGTGTGCGTGGGTGTGTTGTCTGTTGTGTCTCAATTGCGATCGATGTGTTTCTTGCTTGAAGTACTACTACTACTACTGCTGTAACAGCAGCGGTCGCGCTTACCAGCCGACCAAGCCGACCAACCAATCAATGTATGTAGTAAGAAGACGTCAGGCTTCAGCGGGATGAGCCGATGAAATACACCGCGAGCACAGGGAGGGTGATTGAGTTGGACGACACAGTCCTGCTGCTAGAGTTGTTAGCACTCGCTCCTCCTTCCATGATTGATGTCAAGGGCGTGTCTGTGTGTGGTGTTGCTGCCTCTCTCCTCCGCCCGCTCAGCGCAGCGCCACACATAATGGATGGATGGGCACATATTTGTACATGCATATATATGCATGTCAACCATGCTGGATCGGTCTCGCTTTCGTAGCGTGACCCGTGCATGTCGCATATAGATAGACTGCAGCAAGCAGTGGTGCACGGGGTATTGTACACGTGTGTGCATGTTTCCAAACGGAACAACTGCTGTGCTGGGGTCGTGCCCGGCCATTGTTGATTTAGAGCGGAAGACTTGATGGTTGGTGTTGTTTGGCAGGGGCGGAAACTGATTCCTGCCGCGTTGCCATGGTTGTTATTGGGTGGGAAGATTCGCCGTTTGGTACCCCATGGTTGGAGGGGAAAAGGAGTTGGGAAGATTCCTGCGGGGGAAATGATTGATGAATGGGTCTTATTTCCCGTCAGGTCAGGGTACACTTCCGAAAACAGGGTACAGTTGGTGAGAAAAGTAGACACAGCAGGGTATACCCTGCGCCTTTTCGGACGTACCGGGGTGAAATTGGGCGCTGACCAATCATATGAATGCATTTACTGCTGTTAATGACTGTGTGCCCAGGTGTGTCGCTTTTCGACCAGGGTATACCCTGTTGTGTCGTTTTCCCTTAAAAAAACATGGTTTCTCTAGCGGTCCTAGGACGGGACAAACGGACGACATAGTGAGTGCGGAAGAGCCTCGTCAAACAACACGAGGGCACTGCGATATGTACCGCACTATAGCCATACAACACGAGGGCACTGCGGTATGTACCGCACTATAGCCTACAACACGAGGGCACTACGGTATGTACCGCACAATAGCCATGGTGGACGCGCGTGCGGAAGGCCAGCAACTCGCTCTAGATAATCGAAGGCAAGGTGAAGCGGGCGTTTGTCAGGACTCTATGGCCGGAGTGGGGGCGTCAACGCAAATTGGGACCCCGGGTAGAATAAGGTAGTCGAAAGGAGGGTCAATTGGGACCCTGGGTGGAATATCGTAGTCGAAAGGACGGTAAGCGTTGACATCTGAAAGCTCACCGTGCGGTCGTTCACCATCCCTACGCTGAACGCCGTGTAGCCCGCCATCGCGCCGTGAACGGCGTTTTGAGCCAGCTGCATGCAGTAGATCTGGTCGTACGAGTTAGCTGCGACCGACCTGAAACACACACGGCAAAAAACGACCAAACACGATTGAGGCACCAATTAATGCGCCGCTTTTTTTTGCCCGGCGGGTGACTCGCCGCTGCCTTGGGCAGCCAGCTCTGGGAATCGACGATGGCAGAATAAAAATACACTGTCCTAGTGGTCGGGCGGTTAGCGGGATCGAAGGATTTGGAGGGCAAGGACAGACGTGGAAAATTCGTCGACAGAAATCGTAAATACGTCGCATTTATCTGTGCAGAATAGCACCGACCCTTGCCTTTGGTACGCCTGTTTCGCCCGGACTAAACGCAGCCGAGGAGGAGGAGAGAAACAGAAGGGCAGAAGAGAGGAACGCACCGCGACACTAGAAGAAGAAAAATATATGAGGGGGGGGGGGGTGTACTCATAGTCGTGCATGCCGTAGTCGTTAGACCATGGACCACCGAATCGTGTAGAACGGGTCGACGAACTCCATGTTGCAAGACGCGGGAAGGGAAGCATTCAAAAGTCATGAAAAGGGAGTCGATGCACTCCATGTTGCAAGATTCAAAGGGGGGCGGGAAGCATTCAAGAGTAAATGAGAACAGGGTCGATGTCTCCATCTTGGAAGACTTCGAAGGGGGACGGGGAAGTACTCAAAAGTCATGAGAAAGGGGGGCAGGGTCTTACCGAATCATGTAGGACGGGTCGACGTACTTCACGTTGCACACTTCTCCTTGGTCATTGAAGTACTCTTCGATGCGCGTCTTCATGAACGGCCCGATCTCGGGGAACTTCTTGTGACTGCCACAGCGAGGGTGAGAGTCAAGGGGTGAGGGTTTCGGTTGGAATTGGACAGGTTACCGTTGGGATTGAACAAGCTACGGTTGGAATTGAGCAGGTTCGGTTGGGATTCAACAGGAGCGAAACCGCTGAGGAGTATCAACGGAAAACACGCCCAACATATCGAACCAACTCTTGCATTGCTTTTATTCATCAATTGCTCTCACCTTTGGATCTTCGTTCCAAACCCGCGAGTCCGTGGAACGACAGTGATGGAATGGAACACTAACGAAAAAAGGCTTGCTACACTGCAGAAGTGAAAACGCTCACACGCCCCGCTTCTCCACGCAGTTTAGCGTTTCCCGTAACAGAGGTCAGTCGAGATTTTCCGTTAGCGTTCTCCGAGCATTTGTGACCCACCCGGTTGCATCCGTCTCGCCGGTCTCTCCCAGAATTTCTTCTCCGGCACCTTCTGCCACCACCACGACGGCATAGCCCTTCTCCTTCACCTGACGGGCAAAAAAAACGCCGCGGTCTCCATGTCTCAAGGAAGGCCTGTTTCCTTTCATCATCCCGTCATCGAAACGCATGAGATGGTGTGTGTGGTTTTTGGGGGGTGTTTTTTTAGTTTTCAGTTGTAGGGATCACCTGGGTCGATGTTGTCGCACCGGGTACGATAGCGCCGGCGTATCACCAAGGGCATATTGTAACTATTTAACGGTTGTTGCCCTGGCCCGACAGCAGTTGCACGGATGGCATGTACCATCAAGGGGCTGTAAAAATATGCACTTGGGGGAGTAGATGAGTGGCAAGCTCTCCGATTGGGAGGATTGGTCCCTACTGGTCTGGTCTATATTCACAATATAGACCACACCAGTAGGGACTCATCCCAATCGGAGAGCCTGCCACTCATCTACTTCCCGAAGTACATCCTTGCACAGCCCCTTGCTGGTACGTGCCATCCGTGCAAGTACCGCTGTGCGGGCCAGGGCACAATCTTTTGTTACAACATGCCCGATGTTATCTATCGCACCCGGTGCGACAACATCGGCCCCGGTGCGGAAATCGACAAAATTGAATTGAATCATGCCCGAGGGGGGTAAACCCATGTCATCTCAAGGCGGGGATTCCGCACAATTTTTTTACTTCAGTTTTTTGGGGAAGGTTTCTAATTAATCCCGCGGGCGGCGGGCCCGCCGCATTTATGTTCCGGGTAGAAAAAACACGGGCTACGCGTGATTCGAACCCGAGACCGCCCTTTGGTTGCTATGCAGTAACCTTTGTTTCTCGTCCGTTGAGCGCGCACCACCAGTGGACTCGGGCTGTGGCACACACGTACGCCACCTTCGCTACTTTTGGCTTTCGTCTCTCTGCCTAGAGTGGACTCGGGCTATGGCATTCACACACGTCACTGTCGTTAGTTTGTATCTCGTCTCTGCCTACAGTGGACTCGGGGCTGTGGCACTCACACTCGTCGCTTTCGTTAGTTTGTTTCTCGTCTCTCTGCCTGCACGCAAGGGAACCTCGAGGCAAATTTAATGAACATATACCAAGCCACGCCAAGTCAATAAGCAACTACGAACATCGGGCGCACGATATTGCCGGAAAAGGGCAATGCACACAATACACACAACAAATTACATCGTCGTCGTCATGTACCCCCTGCTGTGGCAAATCATTTATCCTTTGGTGACACATTTCAACTCCCATATATTGCCGCTGGCGTCACCCACAACACAACCTGCCTTAGTAGTGCTATAAATGTCGCACTTCGTCGCGATTTTCCTAAAAAAAAATAAAAAATACAGGCAGCTTTTGTTGTAGCTGCCACTGCCAACCTTCGCAGCGAACAGCCAACTTGACATAGTAGCATGATATGATCATCACCAGCAAGAGTGCGACAAGAGTACAGCCTTGTCCGTACGAAAGGGCACCGAACGACGATACACCCTTATCAGCAGCGCTGTGCTTGCTGACACGAGTTCCGCGACCGTCCCTTACCCTCTTCATGATGTGCGGCAAGCAGCCACGGGGCCCGTCAAGCACAATGTCAGACTCCGGCACAAGGCACAGGTCCACGTCCCCAGAAGCGAGGGTAGCTGAAACAATAAATAACAGAGTCCAAATCCAGGGGGGAGGGAAAGGAATTTGGGCTTGAGGTTTTCATCGCCTGGATTGTGTACTATTCTTCATCTGTTCGTGCTGGCGTCCGAACTTGGTAATCTAGCTCCACCGACGCTATCGTCACTAAGGGTCTGCCCCTGAATACCCTCGATCATGAAAGACGGCAAGGAAAGTTGTTCAATCCCTCCCACGAGGCTGGCAGTGTCTCCACAAGCAAATCACTTTCAGCCCTTACCCATTGCTGCGATGAAGCCCGATGATCGACCCATTAGCTTAAATTCGCCGTTGATCGACCAACAACAGTCCCGCGTTTGGTGATTGGTCGATGCATGAGCCCAGAAGTAGTCGCAGGTCCAACAATACCACATTTGTTAGGTGGTTTCGTTAGTGGTACAGCCGTGTTGTCCAAGCAAGGGAGGAGGGTCCGCAAAACCACGCAGCGGCACAGGCACGCATTCACGCGACAGACAGCAGCCAGTTTACGTTAGAGTGCAGGCGCTGAAAAGCACCTATTCTTTGGCCAAAAGGTATGGTGAACGCACGCTTGCCGCTATCTGCTGTTCGTTCATTTCTTATCTCTTGCTCTCAAAACAGCCCTCAGTCCGTAAGTACTTGGCCTTGCTCGCTGTTCACCTATCGTATCGTATCGTATCGTATACTCCCTAGAGGTTCTCCCTCATACAATATACACTTCGGCTTATTCCGTGCCCATTTGCTGCACCGCGATGTCCAGGATCACTGTGTCGATCGACCACACATGTGCAAAAAAAGATACCGAATTTCCACCCTCGACGTCCCCGCCACAACAACCATCACATGACATCCACGGGGCCTGCCGCATCTGCGGTCCGCACAAAAACGTGTCACAACGCAATAAATCTACTGCGTATTCGACTGTCACAACATCGCCCCCCGCTCTCCCAGTGCCTCTTTCTTGTTGTTGTACCGCGTATTTTCGAAACCTTCTCGTTGACAGTGATGGGGTGTGTGTGTGGGGGGGTCGTCCGTCGCTCTAACTGCCCGGTTTCACCCCATTGCTCGCGCCAGACTCTCCAACACAACTGTCTGTCTCGGACCAGCGTCGCACCTGCATGATTCTGTTTCGCTCTCTTTGGTTTCTATTTCTGGTTCTCTGTCTCCTTTATTTCTCCTTTTGTTTTTGTTTCTCCTTCGTTTCTATTTCTTTTTTCTGTCTCTCTCTTGTTGCTATTTCTGTTTCTCGGTCTCTGCCGTTGCTATTTGTGATTCTCTCTCTAAAATTGCACCGCGTGTGGGTGACCCTCTTACCTTCACCACGCCGACCCCGTTGGGTATCGCACACCTTGCCTCTGTGGTAGCGGATTCGATGGCATGCTGAGCAGCCTAACACGCCGCAAGATAAGATCACAAACACGGCACGCCAAGCAGGAAGGATACAAGAGCAACTGTTGAGGGGGGGGCGACGAAGCTAGTCATTCTTCCATGGTGCCAGGATAGGGAATCGTGAAGCCAACATGCATCGTGGTACAGGAGACCATGGAAATGGCCTGTCATGCCCCGCCCGGTCACAACGAGCACCATCATCACACCAGTTCCCAGTGCTGCTCAAGAACTAGGAGGTGCTACATCACAAAGTTCAGGAAACTCTCACTGCGATTTTTCTACTCCCAACAGTGTGGGTTCACCAAACTCAGCGGAAGGTGATACCACGATTTCACCTAAACACGAGCATCTTGACGAAAACAAAATGCGCATGGTGTGTATTGGTACGACTTTCATCAAAATTGAACTATTTACGACACGCATAGAGAAAAAAAAGTTGATGGTTGATGCAAAAAAAAAAATGTGCGTGTACCTCGACTGACGTCTGGAACCCGAAGGAGCGATCGATGATGTCGACATCGTTGTCGATGGTCTTCGGCACGCCTGCTACCGCCACGTTCATATCCTTTGTTCGGGATGGAACGATAACAGCAGCAAACGACAGGGCGCGGGGTGATGCTACGAGGCGCATGGTACGTCATGAGAGAGGCAGCCACGCGGTGCACGAGAGAGATTGGGGGGAGAGAGAGATTGGGGAGAGAGAGATTGGGGAGAGAGAGAGAGAGAGAGAGAGAGAGAGAGAGAGAGAGAGAGAGAGAGCAGACTCTGACGACACCAAACGAACAAGAGTCAAGAGAGGAACATGGGTACGGCAGAATAAGACAAGACAAGGGTTGCTGCCCTCGTCACAATCGAGTGCCAATGATGTAACAATGTACCAATGTACCAATGCCATTCTGCCCCCTATCCAGCACCCCCTCTCCCGCACGTTAAGGCTAGGAAATAAACCTTCGTGGCCGCGGGCTGAACCAAAATAAGGTACACAGTGAAACAACAAGAGACTTCCTTCCATTCGTCGCGAAAAATAATTCAAAGCCCGGAGACAAGTAAATAGAGGCTGTGGATGAATGTCCGCGGGAGGGAGAAGAAGCGGGGCTTGCTACGGTTCAAGACGCATCACCTCGTTTGAGCAGATTTAGCACTATTGTAGTACTTACCATCTTAAGCATACACCATGCTTTACAACTGTATACCATACTATTATAGTAGGTGTGGTTTTATCCCTTTGTCAGCCTTCACGTACAGATAGATAACTTTCGTATCATAAATTAATTAATCTGATTTTCGTGCTCCACAAGTGATACAGAACACTCCGTCAAGTTGAGCAATTGTTAAAGTGGAACTGCTCAAAGTAGAAACAGCAATTCGCACAGGAGCAAGTCCTCATCTCTCAAGTGCAGCACCCGCAAGTGATGCATGACACAAAACGGAAGCAAGCACGTACGAGCCTTCGGCAACGCAACATAGGTAGTATAGGGTTCATACACGGGGGTGACCGATTTACCTCCGAACAAACACGCCCGAGGTTGCTTGTCACATACCACCTCCTCCCATGTAACAGGCTTTTTTTCTTCTAAAAACAAAATCCCACGGTGTTTCCCAGGCGAGATAGACGAGTGTGCATCCTCAAAGGCGGTTGTCCGTTCCGTACCATCAACAAGGCGTCAAAATTCCGTGACTCTGCAGTTCTCCGTGAAATTGGGGGTTCCCCGCGAAGTACTACCGAAAATCGATCCAAGAAGCAGCTCTCCCGACCGAAAACAAAAAACAGTCCAAGAGGCGTGTGCATTAATTTGTTTCGTTTTTGCTCTTACCCTTGCCATGCACTCCGTCGCTATCCTTACTGCTCCGCGGTGAGTCCCGTCTCCCCCAATGATATACAATTGATTAATCTGGGTTAGGAGGAGGAGGGGGGGGGGAGGGGGCAACGCATGTGAGACAAGAAAGGAAAAGAAACACGCGACGCGGTTCGAGGCACATTCTTCTTCCGTCAGAAGCATAAGCGGCAACTGGAAGGGGTTGAATCCTAGGTCAACCGGCAACTAATACGGTCCCAAACCAAACCAGTGAAATTTGCTGCAATTACATGAGCAGTCCAGTACTTGGGCAGTTCTGGCACTTACGCAGTTTAACACCTTATCACCTTTGGGACAGTTTAGAGCCAAAGACATCACCCCAAACTTAGGGAGCACGTAATCCTCTTGGGATAATAAATACATCCATCCATCCATCCATCCATACACTACCACACTACATACAATACACACATACAATACAACGGTACGAAGCAGTTGAGACCGACAAGCTACGCCGATGAGACAGCGACTTATGATGGGGGAGCGCTGCTGCCGTATGGTTTTACTTGAGGTCGTGGCTGATCTCTGCTTCACAGATGAAAAGGCAAGCACATTCGCAAAAAAAAAAATGCGTGTGTTTTTCACCACGAAAAATCACAAACAATTCCCACCAACATCCCACGCCACCCGACTCTGGCTCCTCTTCTAGGCTTCATCGCCGTCATCACCCTGCCTATACTAAACGAGTCACCTGGTTATCGTTGATGAAGTCGATGATCTTATCCAAATCGAAGCCGCCACGCGCAGACCTGGGACACATGGGTTTCGAAAGAGGAGTAAGGCCGACCCGCAAGGGGAACGTGTACTACTGCTGGATGTGATTGTCGATAACGAGTCCGGAGGGGGGGAGTCCCCGCAGATGTATACGTCGGCTGTGACGTGCATGCACAGCGCTCTCTTAGGCTAAATATGCGGTCGATACCGGGGTACCCGCAGATGTATACGGCTGTGACATGCATACGCAGCGCTCTTTTAGGCGAGGCGGTCGATACCGTGGTCCAGCAGTACCGCACAGAACAACGGCGTCCCTGTCTCACAGGCAACTAAGCCAATTCATAGACAAATAAAAACATCAAAATATCCTCGCGAAGTCGGCCCCGCTCGCTCAGCGAAGAGGCGTGGCGGCACCTATGCCTTTGGTTGGGGCGTGCTATTGAGGTAGGATTGGTCGCTTACCCGAGAATCGATCCACCCTCGTGCTGGACGAGCTCAACGTCTTTCACCGACATCTCTCTAGGGGGATGGTTCTCGTCCCAGAATCCCGCGAATCCTCCGACAATGCCGAACACCTTAGGTCAGCATTTGGGCGGCGGGCGTGGAATAGGGTGTTCGGAAAAATGATGAAACGATCAGTCCTTACTCCATGAAGAAAATCAACAGGTTTTGGAAACGACGCGTCGACAGCATTCGGGCGGTTCACCGATCTTACCGTAGCCTCAAAGAGCCGTCAAGCTGCACAACCTGGTGCACATTCTTGTTACACTTTTGACAACCCCATCCAGCGCTGTAGTTGTAGATGTCGAAGGGCGAGCCCTCTTGAGCACGGGCACGGGCGGTCTCATCCCTTTTCGACCAATAATTTTGGTCCTTTTTCGGCTATACATGTAGTCTCAATCATCCCTTTTCGATCAATAATTTTCGTCCTTTTTCGGCTAGTCTCAATCATTCCTTTTCGACCAATATTTTTCGTCCTTTTTCGGCTAGTCTCAATCATTCCTTTTCGACCAATAATTTTCGTCCTTTTCGGCTAGTCTCAATCATTCCTTTTCGACCAATAATTTTCGTCCTTTTTCGGCTAGTCTCAATCATCCCTTTTCGACCAATAATTTTCGTCCTTTTTCGGCTAGTCTCAATATCCCTTTTCGACCAATCATTTTCGTCCTTTTCGGCTAACTCAACCATCCCTTTCGGGCAGGGACATTCACATCCATCCCCTGTTGACCAATAACATGCATCCCTTTTCGGTTAGTCTCTCTTCCTCTATCTTCGAGCAATCTCATCCACCTCTTGTTGGCCAGTCTCATTCATCCATTTCTGGCGAAGTCTCATTCATAATACATACCTTTTCGGCGTCGTAGATGTTGAAGAGCGTGAGCACGAGGTGGTGGATGACGCTGTTCAATCCCGGGCACAGTCCCCCGCACGTCACCACGGCGGCGCGGACTTCCGTAGGCTTGAAATGAAGCGATGCCCGTGGCCCTAAAAGGACACAGAACACATTTAAGATATATATAGGACTGTCAATACTTTGTTTTGTCAATGCTGGTGTGGGGGACTGGGTTTGGCTTCGGAATGCAAGAGAGGTTGGCTGGGTGCACCTCCGTTGGACCCAATGTTCTCACACAACCCCACTGGGGCTTCAACACAAGGTCATGCGATGGTTGGGGCCGCCAAAGCCATGAACGCACGGACATGAAAAAGGTAAGAAAAGCTGGGTATTGATAAGGGGGGAGCAAAACGCGATGGAGGCGTGCTCGATTTGTCAGTTCTGTGGCACGGAAAAAACGTCTACAGCTTGCGTTCGAGAGATGTGCACGCTTGCAAAGGAAGATGGCGACATGAGCCGTGCATCACTCACAACAATCATCACACGCTTTCCAAGAGCTCGACAGAAGCTCAGTCGCTTTAAACAACCCGCATGCGCCCCTGTCATGATAAAACAGCTGCTCACGTAACTAGTACAGCCATGTACAGTATCAGTTGCAAGGACCTGACTTCGATGTTATTCTTATCAGTTGTTCTGTAACCACCGCAAGAGATGGGCTATGCACAGTGCTGACAATGATCCGACGCCTCAAATCCAGACAAGACACCGTCGGCACTAACAGCAAGAAGCGCCTAAAAATGGAGTGCGATCGTTGTTGGTCACCACATTGCTTGTATAGCAGGTACAGCTTTCCGCAGCGCGCGTGGAAAGGTGAAAAACGCAAGACGAAAGGCGGCGCTCGGGGCTTGTTACTTTTTTTCCCGTCGCACCTATATTCTGGGCGCCAGTGTACACCTAATGGCGGGTGTGCTTCAAGCACCAGCGGGGGCCACACAGACAGGAGGGATTCTCCAACTCCCCCCTGCGGCGCTGGCCATAAGACGCGAGGAGGGTTCAGCAGCCCCAACCATCTCTCTGTTGTGTGCACTCACGACGATGCGGTAATCGCTTCAAAATTGGGAGTACATAATTCTACTCCGTATTAAAAACTCGAATTCCCGAGCTCGAGACAGAAATTCAATGTTCTACACGAGGTTAGAGCATCAGCTGAACCACTACCCAGGGTTTGGTTGTGTGACCGAGCTTGGTTTGAAACATTAATCCCTCTCTCTTCGCATGCACACCTGCTCGGAGAAAGCCCTTCGCAGCCGGCATCCTCCCGGGGCCTCGAACGTGCTCTGCAACGGTACGGTACGGAATACGGTACGGTAACACCGACGTCGCCAGCACATTCATTGTCGTTGTCATCAGCACAGCAGCATGAAATAGCTCTTGAAATAACACGCACGCCGAATGCTATATTCATCGTCCATCGTAGAGCTTTTTCGTCATGTTCCACCAAAACGCGATGGCACTCTTGCATGGAGGATACGCCATCGTGTCCACACAATCGAAACGAGATGGCAATTGACCGAAATCTCACTGATCTTTGCTAAGATGGAATCATGGCATCATAAAAAAATACCAATGCACATACCACGACGTTACCACCGACAAAAAACAAAAGTGAGTGAACCGTGTAATAACTAAAGTGGATACCATCACAAATTCCAACCGTGACAACAAATCAAGGCATATCATTACAACTCTCAACCGTGAAAACAAGTCAAAGCAGATCATAATCGAGAAATCAGTATACACGCATCATTGTCGAAGCGGATAGATACCATCACAAATGTCAACCGTCAAGGAATGTCACGCATCATCACCGTATAAGACGATGTCTTGCTCCCCTATGAGCTTGGTGTAGTGGGTAACGCTCCCAAGGCTGTCCGACGCGATATCCAGGTTGGCAACCCCTGAAGGCTTGAATTTGGTTTTCAGGTTCGGCACCGGAACCGGCACGATCTCTTCGATCGTAAACCTGGCCGTTCGCATGTGTTTGTGCGCGCGCGTGTTTAATTGATCAGACCAGCATCGACTGCGACAAAGGGCAAGACTCACGTCAGTATCGATCGAGATCAAGAGATGGGGTTTTCTGGCCTGCCGGCCTGTTGTGTGTGTATTTGATGTGGTCAGCTTGAATGATTTCTCTTCCGACTTTTGCACGTCTGTTGCTACAACAGATTGGGTCATTTGCATTCAGATTTGTACAGATCGGGCGCTTCCTTTCTTAAAAGTGGAGCTAAAATCGGGATTCGAAATCTTAATCTTCGATAAGATCACACCCGGCTGTACATAGACCTATGCCATTCATGTCCCATCGTATTTATCTCTTCGTCTTTGGTCGGAACGTGCATGGATATCGGTAATCGCGATGGCAAGGGCAATGGTGACAATGACAATAGCAGCACCATCACCACCACCAGCAAGGACAGCAGCAGCAGCAAACAATCACCATGGCCACCACCACCACCACCACCACCAACAGCAACGAAGGAACAACAAAGAACAACACCAACGCTCGAAACTAATACCCTAGATACTGCTGTTGTAGATCATATGCATACATACCTCTCCCGCTCTTCCTCCTCAGCCGTGTCGGATGGCTGCAAAATTTCCTTAAGGCGATCCAAGTCCTTGTTGTACTCCATGCACAGCTCCATGTCATCTTTGTCGGCAAGATGAAGCGTTCGTTGTGGAGCACATATTTCAGGAACGCAGGCAAGCACACATGTAAAGGCACGGTACGGACGGAAGACAGCAGCAAAAGAGAAGGTGCACTTTGTTGAAGGGATTCTCCTCGAAGAGGATAGACAAGAAAGATGAAGGTTCAAACAACTCTCTCTATGGTGTCCTTGGGCGTGTCCGTTGTGCACACAAAGGTTGGGTCTGGGTTAACAAGCAGCCATGACCAAGTTACTGGACGTGTCGCTGAAGACATGTTTAGGTATCCTGAATTACTACAGCAGTACAGCCACGCTCGGAGGGAAGGTAGAGGTGGATTGAGACCAGCAAGAGCCGACATCGAGGCCAATTTTTAGTGGTAATCCAACCGAACCACACCAGAAGCTCCGTCGTGACACGCTCACCGCAACAAGGGAATGATGGAAAGGAAAGGAAGCATGGAAGAGAGAAAGGAAGGAATACATAAATATATTGTAAGAGCAAGCAAGAACGTAAGTACGAAATAAATAAATAAATACAGAAAGAAAGGAAGGAATAAATAAGTACATAAATACAGAAATACAGAAAGAAAGAAAATAATAAAGAATATTGGTAAACAAATACTAATGGAGTAAAGAAATATAGAAATAAATGAAGACAATGCCCGCGTAGCCGTATTCGAGGATATTCTTGGCTCACCCCCTTCCCCAGCTACAGAGCAGGCCTGGTCCAGGGCCGGCCTCCACGCGATCGAGTTATTCGACGCCTTCCGAGCGGGGATGCGATCCAGAAGGCAAGCGTGAGATACGATAACAAAAAACACCAAACACGCGTGGGTAGGGGTAGCACGGGGTTGATGAAGAAAGGCTTCGTTGTGGGGAATTCGGCTTTCGTACAACGCCTTTCGGGTGTCGTATCATATGCATATGCATAGGGATTTCCACAAAGGCAAGGGTTGGCAAGGATAGCGATCACGGGGGGTTGCCAGAGAGGGAGAAACCATTCCGATATCATGCGCTGGAACAACTCTGCAGTTGTTGTGCGAATAACGTCAGCACTGTTGCAGTAGAGAACGCTTGTAGCGGAGAAGAAGCTGCCGGAAGCATTCGAGGGGCAACGTCATGCCGCAAACGAACCGGTCAACTAATGCGCGTGCAAAGGACACGTGCTGTTTGCGGCGACAAGCACCCAGACAACGAGACACATCATTGTCAAAGGGGAGCCGACTTGCTCTTCAATAGCGTCAAATGACACCGCCACAGCTGAACGACCCACGGCATCACAGGCACGGGGGAGGGAATAACTGTAGCTCACCTGAGGTCTCCACATCCTTTTTTTTTTCTGTTCTTTTTTTTTTGTCTTGACTTCAAATCAGTGCTCACAGCAGTTGTGCCGTTTACTCCAACCCGTGGTCACACAGAAGGTTTCCTCTCCCCGATGCCCTCTACCCACCCCTCCCCCCTTTCGGGAGTATTTAATAATTAACCCATGACATAGAGAGGGCGGTTTCGTATCCCTATCCCTAACCCCCTGCTCAAACCAAGGCCAAGCTTACTATCCTCACGAAGGCTACTAAACAAAACGAAGTCAACAACGAAGCAAAGCTTCCAACCATAACCATTCACATGGGCAGTTCACCTCGATCTCGTCGACAACGTCCCAAGCGGCCACCGCCTGAGGCGACGAGTCCCCGTGCTCCCTGGCCGCCCGCAACGCCTCCTCCAAAGCCTCTCTGTACTTGGATTCAGCCTGTGACGCTCGGTCCATCGCTCGACCCTCGCCACCGAACGCCACACCTGTCGCCTCCGCCTGAGGTAGGGTGGGAGCACAACACCAGTGTGTGAAACGCTTTTTTGTTGGAGTGGTAATTGGTCTTTGCAGTAGTAGTCTTAGGTGTACTCAGCAGTAGGTACGGATCTACGGAGATGTAGGGGGGTTTCGTGTATCATGTTGGTATGTGTTAGTAGAAGGGAGAACCCCTTTCTGCGTGCATGGGCAAGTATGCCCTGCGCACTCGAATATCAAGGTCTTGAGTCAACCTCAACCCCGCAGCCTCTGACGCAAAGCACCCGCTACTCAACACTACGCAGGTTTCTTCATGTGAGCAAACATACTGGATAAAGAGTAGACGTCCGGGTTAGGGTTAGAGTCTGCGTGTCCCCTGCCTGGTCTTCACAACGTAAAACAACGTTGCTTTCATGCGTAAGCAGTCCTTGTCTTTCTTTGCTTCGTTCTTGCAGAGGCGCAACAACTTTCTACATACGTAATTGTTTTTTGTTGGGTGCTTTCTTTAAATTTTGTTCTTTCTTCCTGTTAATTCTGGAATTTTTCGCATTTAGCACATGCAACCGTTCGTTTGTTTTTCGAAGATTGTTTGAAATATGCCTTGCATCGCTTGGCCTAGCGTACGATGTTTTATGAACCGTTTGTTATACTCGGACACACAAGCCTCGACAGAAACGTTTCACTTGTTTTATTTTGTGGAAAACGAAGAAAACACATGCGTTGAAACGATCGCACCGCCATGAAAGAGATGCTCTAGACCATACCTTCCTTCCCTTCATGCGTCGATGTAAAGAGACGATTTCAACATTACGCCAAACCTTAAGAGCTGTCCACGCCGAAATCCCGCCACTATACGCCCTTCGGACGTCCCTGTACTCCCTGGCTTGCCACCATGGCCAAACTCGTCGAGACGTCCTACTGTATTGTACCCTACAAAACGAAGACAGCACAAATTAGCAAGGGCATACATCGCGGAAGCAGCAACAGCAACGAGAACAAGAACCCGCTTCAAGAGCCAAAGAGCCGGCTTCGTGGAACCAAAATCGAAAACCAAATTCGCCGCCAGGATAACCACAACCACAGCTCTTTTCCGAACCTTTAGACGCAAGGAGCGTCGGCCACCCCACACCGCAGCCTCTCCGTGCTGCTGCTGCTGCTGCTGCTGTTTTCCCTTAGACCCCCACCGCCGTCGAATAACCTCCCGGGAGAGGTCCTTCCGGAATAGAAAGGAAGCAAGGAAGGCGCAAACGACGTACGGTAAGGATGCAGCAGCAGCAGCAGTTGCCTTGCCAGGATATGAAGCTTCATTTTCAAACGACATAAAACCACACCGTAAGGATACAGCAGCAGTAGCTTTCCGAAAACATTAACGTTGGTTTTCAAACGAAATATATTAGGAAACAGTAGCCTTGCGAGCATACTAAGCTTTGTTTTTGCACGAGGGTATGGGGTGGATCTGGAGGTTACATGTACGGTTTTGGAACCCCTCTCTATGAATACATACATTGCTGTAACGCTTAATATCCTCGCGAAAGGCGTTCCTAAGGATAAAGCAGGGATTTGTCGACTAAACTAGCGCTCGCCTGTGCCTTGAACAAACCGCTGTCCAAGACAAGATCGCCCAAATAGAAAAAGCATCAACGTAGAAGCACAAAACAGCCAGTAATATAGACTACCTGCAACAGGCGGAGAGGTGGCCACCCCCCTAGAGCGACTTTCAAGGCTCGATTTCTCCACACTCAAGTGGGTGCGGAAAGAGCCTGATACATGTACGGAAAGCCCTCGACAAGTTTCTAACACCACCACTTTCGGTGCTGGTATCGAGCCGGTCGCCACGGTGGTCTAGTTGGTATCCTCGAAACCTTCTAGAGGTCAGGCCAGGGGTTCGAATCCCGGCGTAAGCGAGCTTTTCTTGCAAAGTAAGTTTTTCTCTCGCTTCCGCTCCTGGCCTAGTGGATAGCGCTAGGTCGTGTGTACACAGAGGGAAGAGAGTGCTGAACTCTTCTCGCATTAAAAACCGAAGGCAACGGACCGCAGGAGGGGAGGGTAGAGAGGGGCCCTTCTGTGTGACCACGAGTTGGTGTAAACGGCCTCTAGGGCTGTGAGGGCTGATTTGAAGCGGAGACAAAAAAAAAAAAAATCGTACAATCGAGCTTTGGAAATCGGTCCCGAAGCGACCGCTGCCCTGCCTGCCCTCCTCAACTTGTCACGTACAAGGGCGTCAATGCTCAAACTTCTGGCCAGCCCTGCTAACATGCAAAGCAATGGCTTGATGCGCTCTGGAAATTGATGAAATCCCGTAATAGGGGGGAAAGCTTAACAATATCGGTGTATAAAATCGCAGCACATACCTCCGCATGACGCCAGGTAGTCTTCCGACCAGCAGCCCCTGCTGCTGCTGCTGTTGCCCAACTGCCTAGGGCACGGCCGCCGTCGACCGTGGGGGGGGACGCAAACGCAGGCAAACCCGCCCCTGCCACAACGCCTCCTGCCGCACAGCAGTACAACAGCAGGTGTAGTTAAACGATAAGTCAAAGCGACAGTGTACAGTGTACAGGCCCTGAGATAAGAAACGTCAAAATGAGGTCGAGGCTCAGTTTCTTACTTTCATCGCCACTGCTGTCCAGCACAGGTTGTGGTATAATAGAGTTTAGTATCCACCGCTGATTGCTTCACCGTGTTTCCATATTTTTCGTGAACTTGTGGGCCCGGCCCGTTTTGCAGCAATCTACGTCTGTTGGAAGAGAGATATAAACTGCCGTTCGTGTTCGCTAATTTCTAGTCTGCGTTGCACAAATTACTGCTGTGTTCTTTCTCCCCCCGTTGATGTTCTCTTTCCCCTGTTAGTATGCATACACGCAGTACTTTGGTTCCCGTGCAACATTATTATTGTTGTTGTTCGTTGCATAGTCTACGTTGCACACATGCTGTAATGACGGGTAAAGCGTCGTGCCGGTACAATGCATGGAATGCGATGTGGAGGTCGCGTGTACAATGGAGGAGGGCGGCATTTAAAACCGTCCAGGCCCGCTCGCTGTCTGCGCTCGTTGACGAGGTATCTATATACCGCAGTGCACTGCCGTAGAATGCACTTTCACACAGAGAATGTCATTCAGAACTTCCGGAGGAAGATATGAGTACACATGTAAGAAGGGGGTCCGCTGCATCGATCTACTTTACCCAAGGGGCATCCTACATCGTATGCATATCAACATGTGGGTACGTGGTACAGCAGTTTCTATCATGCATACTGTAGGAGCATCAAACTCTTTCCATGCCCTGGATATATGTGACATGATCCGCGAGTCGGCGGCACATTACGCGTTTGTTCTGGACGTACCACCTGGGGGCCAAACGGGACTATAGCCTTCGTGGGTATGGTATGGTATGGTACGTGAGTAGTGCATGTTCCACGGCGAAACGCTTCTTGTGCTGTTTCCGTCCAACTTCTAGAAGCAGCAACATTCCTCCTGACAGCCGGCCGCAGTCACCGCTGTAAATTCTTCGACAGAGCGTGGCGGTGCTAATTGATCACAACAGCAGCAGCCTGTACAGTAACAAAAAAAGGAAAGCAATGGTGGTCCACGGAAGAAAACAACGCGACAAGCAGCAGCAGCGGCACCAAAGCGAACTGCTGTTGCCCCTCTGCTTGCGGGTGTAGTCCATTCAGCATGACTGCCACAGCTGCAGTTTGTACCGCATCTTCTTTTTTGAAAAAATTGTGTCTTGTGATGCGCGTGTTGAACTTGCCGCTTTCCACTACAGGAGCACAACAGAGGAACGGCCAATACTGCGCATGTATGTACGTCTCGCGCTACAAAACCTTACACACAGGCTTCGTCTCGACACCATGGCTGTGGGAATATGTGGGACGATCTCATATGTGTGGTGGGGGGGGCATCTGCCTGCCACGCGGACACGCATAAGCCATGGTTGGAAATGCACCGTTGCACTGGCACCGGTGGAATCACCTTTTTAGTTTGGTATGAAGCTTCTGCACAGCAGAGAAGACGTCGTCTTGCGCACTACCATGCCCACACCGCTGCAATCCATTCCTGGATACTCTACACCTCAACCACCCACCAATCTCGCTGTGCCCGGAGTCTGTCCACTGGGAGCGGTGACAGAGGAACCGAAAGTATTGCAGTAATCGAGCACTTCACTTGATGTTCTTTTCTAGGATGAAAACGAGTGCAGACTCCGACCTTCTTTTGCACATATTGTAATACCTCTCTGCAGGGCCGCACAGGGCAACATCATGACAAAGCCGGGCTGATCGCCACCGACCCCAAATCTTTCCCTCCACTCACCAGCATTGGAAGCAGCGGCGGCGGAAGCAACGGCTGATACAGCCAGGAGAGCCGTAGCAACCATACCAAAGCCGTCAGGAACGTGTGTGCAGTGGAACGGGGTGGGACAGGCAGGGGAGAGATACGCGGCAATGATCGGAGGCTCCGCGATATGCTTGACATATTTGTGCCCCCCCGCATTCCTCCCCTCTGTGCTGTGTGTTCGGCCATGTGCATGTGATTGTGATTGTTGCACACCAACTGCTCGACTTGCCGCGCTCCTCTCTATCCCGATCGACATGGAAGCCACACCGCGCGGCGGTCGATGCGGGTACGCGCTAATTTTGTGCTCGGTGCTTCTATCTTGCGCTGCAAGACAGGTGATGATCTATCTCTACCACTCGTTGCAACGTGCAGCAGCAGCAGCAGCAGCAGCAGCAGCCAAGAGGAGAGTCACTTTGGTTGTTGCGGTGGTATTACTGCTGAAGATTTAGCCTCCCCGGCGGGAGGCTTGCCTCTTTGTCGAGAAGATGCCAGCGGAGCTTTGAACCCGCTACTGCAGTAGGAGGTCCAGCGGAAGACACATCCCTTCCTCGGATCTTTCACGACCTTTGGTTACATGTACACGTGCTCCGAATCCAACCTCCGCAACAAGATGGCCGTGTTCGGTGAAGCACTACATTTTAGCAGGATGGTGGGCGGAACACGCTGCTGCTGCTGTTGTGTGAACACAACACACAACATGTGAAGGGCGACACATACACACAGAGGGGGAGGCGTGGAAGAAAGTTTGGGCTTCGATCCACCAGATCTTCCATCGTACACCTCCATCGACAACGACAAAATTGGAGGAACAAAATACAGCAGTGATGGCACGGACCTCCGAAGGATGGTGTACATGTAAATACCGTACTGCTTGTGGTACAGAATCCAGGGGCAGAATCGAAGGCGTGCTGAAGCTATGCAGAGCAGAGCCCACTGGAGAGAAGTCGGATAGGGAGTCCAGTGCAGGGCAACGATCCTTTGCATTAACACAGGAGGGCCAGATAATGCAGTGGCAATGCTACTACGGAGTACCAGTAGCTTATTGTGGTGGTGTGCTGAGTCTTCTCTCTCGAATCCGGAAAGCAGGACCTTTGAGCATCGTCCAGCCTCCTCCGCGCCCCCTCCTGCCTTACCGGGAGAGCCTTGATACGCAAGCGAGCTCGCGTTTCTTATCCCGCTACTAAGCTAGTGTATAGCGGCGTTTTAAGACACAGCATCAAATTTGGCTCTGTGGCGGGAAAAAATTGATTTCAAATTTTGATTCCCTGACTTGTAATCCAGATTTGTAATCCAGAAAAACTCCAACAGCTTGTCTTTTGGTTGTCTTCGACCAATCAGAGGTCGTGTTTTATTTTTAGTTTTCTACTGATTAACATCGTTAAATACTGGGCCTAAGACTGACGTCTTTTCATAGGTCAGCCGATGTGCGTGGTCTATGTCTAGTAAAGAACACACACGTACATGGCCTCCAGAAGCCTTTTCCGTTTTTAGCCGCAGTGCGACGGATGCATGTTTCCCTTGTCAGCCGGTTGGTGCGGTGGACACTAATAGCAAAGCCGCACCCAGGACCTCACATGGGGAACGTCCGGCAACAAGCCGTCCGCAGTTCAGCACAAATTTGCAAACATCGGCGCCGTCCTAACAACTACTATAATACAATATTGAATCATAGCGCCGCAATGTAGAGAGCGGAGTATGCCGCCTCCGCCCGTCCAAGACATGACCCCGTGGCCGAACACGGTGCGTGCGCATGGAAACATGTGAAGTGACCTTGGCAGGTTCCGATGTCCGCCACTTCTCGTAGGGTGTGCCCTGTCGCTGTGTCTTTCTACCATAGCCCCTGTACGCCACCCTCCGTGGCCCGTGTCCAGTCAAAAGCACTACGGGTATCTCGTTTGCATACCTAAATAGATTACCGTGGGTACGCTTGTGGTCCAGGTCGGTTGGATAGCATGTGGAAGAGAAGTCAACGTTTGGGTCCTGCTATTGATGACATCGACCTTCAATATCCGCAACGACAGGCGTCAGCGTTTATCCCCTCTCCGCCGGCGAGGCAGCGCTTCCATTCCACCGCACCAACCACCACCACACGAAGCGTCATCGTCAACAACCGCCGCTCCCGATCACGGCGCCCCGCGGCGGCCGCTGCGTCTAGCGAGGGCGTTTCCACGGCTCAAGAGGACGGTGTCAGCGCGAGGCACAACGAGGCAACAACACCGGCCGCAGCTACCGTAGTGGAAGCAACCTCCGTTAAGGCTGGTGTCCCGGAGGCTGCGGCAGCGGTAGAGGCACCGCCGCCGCCGCCGCCGCCGCCGCCGCCGTCGTATCGCCGGCTGTACGACGCGGCCATGGGCTTGCTCGAGAGCGAGATCGGGCTCGAACCCTACCCGATCCCGGAAGGCTTGGAGGGGAACTGTGCCGTGGTAGGAAAGGGGCGCAATTTGCAGGTGCGTGGGGGTATAGAGATCAGGTGTACAGCAAGCCGTGTGCAGCCTGTTATCGTTAGTGCTGTCCCGTTGTGTACACTGGTGCCCTTTCTGTTGACATGTGGATGTTTAGAACCAAGCCGGTAGTCGTGCGTGTCTGCTTCCCGGTGCCCCCTCTAGTTTGGGTGTTTGCGCTTTTTTTCTCTGGTTGGGCATATGCGTAAGTCTGCATGTTTTTTCCTGATCTCGTGGCTGTGTGTGTATCGTCGTTCCCCGAACCAAGACCGTGGAGACAAGCATCACAGCGTTCCGGTCAAAAAAGTTCCGACAGGTTCGGGCAGCCTTGGTGGAGACGGACCACGCTACCCAAGTGCTAAACCTCGTCATGTTCCCGAGCCCCAGGTTCGTGTGACGTGCCCCTCATTTTCGTGCAGATCAGATACATACGCGCCTCGTCCAATGGCTTACTGTACCGCCTGCACAAGTTATAAGCTACAGTATATGGTGCGAATCAACGTACACGACGGACAGGTCTGCAACATAGGGCGAGTGTAGTGTCGGCTTAGCAGAGCTATGTATACACGACGTTTAGAAATGTTTTGCTTTTGACCGCAAAACCTGTCGGTACGACGTGGGTGACATCACCGCTCGAACTGTTCTTGGATCCGACACCGGGGACACAAGAAAGTCGTCCCCGGGGCGGGGAAAACCTCTGTGTAAGCGTGTAAGCACACTGAAGGAGGAGAGAGACAAGGTAAGTTTCTTCTCAACTGACCGCCAACGACACGGGAATACACGAGGGGTCGAGGAAAATAGCCCATCTCGCCCCTCGTTAGACACCGACGACGGCGAAACCATTTTTTTTCCTTCAGGTTGTGTCATAGCGTTTATTGGTTGCCCACGAGGTTACGCTCTGCGGCAAGGACGAAGATGTTTTGAAGATGAATCGACGCGAAAGTGCTAGTCGTTGATATGGGTGAGAGCCTCTGGCTGATCGCAGCAGAGAGACCTCGTTGATCCCATACTCTAATACGAGTCAACGTGCGGCTGAGGTGTTGCAACACTAGATTACTAAAAGGGTTGAAGACAAATAATTTTATGTAGACCAACTTTGAAAACAAACACAAGAGCACCAGAATCTGCATAGCAGACACCCAAGACCAGTCGGAAGGCATTGCGAAAAACAGAAATCGTTGATTCTCGGACAGGGCGGCAGTAGAGGCTGCTCAAGACATACATTTCACGCGTCTACCTCCACACACCTGCTTTGAAAGCAAACAAAAATTCACATCGTTCTAAATTCAAGTCAAAAGAGCCAAAACGGCAGGTGCTCAAACAAGGTCGGTGTTGCTGTGAACCTGGTGCGTTGTACTAATATCACTAGAGGGCACCCTATACCAGCGGGGTGTGTGTGTTGTGCGCTCAAATCTGCTTCTGCGGTGGTGATATCATATCAAGGGTCGTAGTAGTGGTCTACAATCTCCGTAACTCTCCGCAAATTAGACCGACACCCAGCGTGTTGTACTGCTTGTGCTCGCCACCACCGACCCCAATCTCCTGAAGTGCGGGTTTTCAGCAGTAGCTGATGCCACTAGCTACTGCTGACAACCCTCCGTTCAGGGATTTACGGCCCGTGGCGGTGAGCAAGGCTATGACAAAGGTTGGATTCCGCTTGGTTCCGGCGCAGATTTCGGATTGTTTTCAGAGGCTGTTGCGACCTTCGATATTTCAGCTCCAGTAGCACACCTGAACGTGCCGGCACGCACGATGCCTCTTCATAGTGTTCTCTACTGATGACAGTAGAACGCACCAGGTTCCTCCGGCGGAAAGGTTGTTTTCTTTCTTTATATTGGATTTAAATATGAAAATAGAGCCAGCGTCAATATCACTAGTTCTTCAACCCGTTACGTGACGGCATCAATCATGTCGCGCGATTCACGTTGGACAGCTACGACTTGCCCATCTTCGGAGCGGACCTCGTGACACTTCCGGGGGTGCATCTGATCTGCATAGACCTGCAGCCTGCACACCCGGCTCAGCAACTAGACGCGAAGGCCGATGAAGCCATGCACGAAGCCTACAAGTGAGAGCCTGAGTGACTTTGCTTGCCTGGGGTTGCTTTTGTTTTTGTGGTTGTTGTTCGCCTTCACGTTTACTGCGCATAAGCCACTGGCCTGTTTCCAGTCCCCCCGTTTCCACACAAACCCATCCGAAGGAACACACCATATCCCTCCTGTCGTATTTTTTTTAGTTTTTCGCTGCCCTCGTCTATTCCTTTTGTTTTGCTGCCTCGTGCTTTTGGCGTTTGCCCTGCTTTGTGAGAACCACTCAAGCCCAAGTGTGGGAGCAATTTGTCCTTGTGTGCTTCGTCTGAACGTCCAGCCTCTTTTGTCCTCCGTACCCTGCGACCCGCCCCCCCTCGCGCACAAGCAATGTTTCCCCTGGATTCCGCGTTTCACATCAACAGCTGTCAGTCCCGCAGAAACGTCCCATCGTCGATGCCGACACAATGCTTGTCGAGAATTATTATAATATTAAGGTGGCCTTTTTGAATGCTCACGTAGGGGGCGTTCTTGTATTCTCAGGCGTTTTCCCGTCTTCACGTTGCTGTTAACTACGAGTTTTTCTTGCGTGTCGGTGTTTGTTTCGGCGTGATGTGTTTTTGGTGCTCAGGCGGCATGTGGAGGCGTTGCCTTGGGGGGGTGACCTTCCCGAAGCGGCGCAAAAGTTCTTCTCTCCGCACTGCCTCTGGGCGAAGCTGGATCCGAAGGAGGTGAGACACCGGCGGTGGTTGAATAAGCTATTCTACCCTCTGGGGCCATTGTCAACGCACGATTCCTCCACAGCAGGAGTGGCGATGCCGAAAATGGCGGATTTGGAACCATCTCGTCGAGAGCTGTCCGGAAAACGTATCGTTTGACTCCTATTCCTCTTCGTCGTGGGAGCAATCGAGCTTTGAAAGTCGACGGTAGCGTTTGCACCTATGTACCGAAGGTGTCGCTTGATGCCACCCCAGTGCTAGCATGAGAGCGCCGAGAAACCCTTTTACGAGGTGAAGTTATCTGGAAGGTGTGGAGTAGCTTTTGCCGCCCCGTTTCTTGATCTGCGAGTGCGTGCTTGAGTTTTGGACGCAATTATACAGCATCGTACAAAGCCTATCACCTCGGGTGAGGCATCTTGAGTCACCGAAGGCTGCGGTTTTCTTTCTGTTTTTGTCAGTGATGGGGCAGCAATACATCAAAACACAACGGTATGAAAGTATGCCTACCATGTGAAAATACAGCGGCAGTGTGGTTAGATGAAATATGCCTACCACGTGAAGAACAGATTCCGACATTGTTCCTCGCTGAAGACCACGTGGTGTAGGAAATTAAAGACGTTGTTCCAGTATCAAGGAGAGAGTGCCTCGTCCCAGCCTGGCGTTGCCAAGTGAACATTGGGATGCGGTTCTCTTGGTGTCGTTTGCAGCACCACCGGAGCTGTCAAAGCGCTCTTGTAGGCAACGAACGGCATGTAGGTGGGGTTGGGACATTGTAGAACAAGTACCCACCGCAGAGCAACGACACCGGTTGAAACTCCGGACAAGGAATAGTCGGAGGATTCGTTGTACTGGGGAGATGGCACGACCCTAAGGCAACGAGGCGCTACATACTTCGCATCCGCGACAAACTCCGAACTTAGGTTAACATCGAATGTTGTTTTGTATATGACTGCTATATTCAGCACGTGGGTCTCGCTCTGCCACCGTGCGGCTTATTTTGGTGTGTCGCCGAGGATATCTTGATTCTGTTCAACAAAGAAACCCTCGTCGAGATATTGCCGCTTCGATTTGCTCGACAGACGTGCTGCGCTGGTGGGACAATTGTCTCGATAGGTGTCGTGCCGTGGGTCTCGCAGATGAAATCTGCACGTTCGAACGAGTTGGTTGCAAGCGTTTGACTGTGAAGTAGGCGCACACGAGCAACGTGCGATGAACCGCCCTTTCGCCGCTGTCCACACGACCTTTTTTCACACTGCTGTATCGGGTATCGGGTGTGCATAATAATGGAAACGCTCGTTACTCTAACGCCTATGCCTGCGTTGCCCTCCATGCCGGGCCAGCAGGCTAGTGTTTTTGCCGCTGCTCTTGACCCCCACGACGAGAAAAGGTCGTTTCATGTGTTGTTGTCCACACCCAACGCCTTCCCGAAATCATCGTTAAACCCAGGTATCCGCATAGTAGTCCCTGTACGGTGACTGTGCCCCCAAATACCGCACCCGACGTTACTCCTCTAAACGTCCTCGGTAGCACAACTGCTACTGTAGCACCGGTGGGCCCCGCTATCGCAACTGCCCGCTACCCCACAGCAGCTGCCACAGCCAAGGACGCCAGAATTTTTACTGTGCATGACTCTTTTCCACAACTACGAATGCCACTGCCAGGCGGTGGAGCAGAAAGCCCTGGACGCTATGATGGACTATCTTCGAGAGTACCTCCGTCTTGTTGAGGACGCTGAGCCGGTGGAGGGGGACGGCCCGCTAGCGGAAATATCCTCGGGCCACGCCGAGTACAGCAAGTACAGGTCGGTCAACACTATTGGCTGTGTCGCACTATTTTTTTTATGTGATGTCCCTCGCATAATTTCTGCCCCAAATCGCCCTGCCCGGTTTCCTGGGTTCGAAAAGGCCGTGTTAACGTTTTGTATTCCTCTTGTGATGTACTGTGCACGTTCTCTGTATGCATGCCTCGCCATGTGTGTTGGATGAGATACCACCGACACGTCTAGATGCAACCCTTTGTGCCACACGGCGTCACTGCACCTACCACGGATAACTTTTGGAGCACATGCACACGGTGGAGGCACCGAACGACCGCCTCTATGACGAAGGTCGGCTCCCCAGATGATTGACGTTTGGCTGTCAACGGTGGGGACGATGTAGGGAGTGGTTTGCAGACGGTGACCCCTCTAAAAGGCAAGCACGAAATGAGTTTGGTATCTCCAGCTAATCCTCGTGCCCCCCGACCCCAATGATTTGTCCAGGCGAGAAAACGACCCTGCAAGAGGGATGCTGACCCGTTTCTATGGCGCAGAGTGGACTGAGGCCGCGATCGCGGGGATCCTTTTCGATTTCGACAAGCAGTTTCCACGCGAGTAAGGAAAAGTTGAAAAATACAGCTTAGAATCTGGGTGTAGAAGTTTGTTTGAATTAACGTGGTTCAATTATTCGACACCCCCTGTGGGTGAGCTTGCATGGTGAATAGATGTTGTGTCTGCTGTGACTTAATTGTCTACCGAGTTCTCCCCTTGGCCCTCTTTTATTCCTTAGCCATAAACTCAGGGAGACCGGACCAAGCATCGGAGTAACATCGGACTATCCGGCCGGGTCCCAATTGGGTCCTGCCCCTGAGAGAAAATATTTGAGGGTGGTGAATGTTAAGAAGGGTCCGACTACCAAGGTATTCACCATTTGACGTTTACCGTTATCAGTGCACCTCGACAATGGCTCATGGGAAGTACAAGCAACGCGGGATTGGTTTTTATGTTTGTCAGAAGTAAGGCCGACATTGATATCGCTCGCGAGGCTGGGAGCTACTAAGGCGGGGCCGAGTTGCTGACCGTTGACCAAACGGAGAGCGTAGTTTGCTGTGTGTGAGTTTGTTCCGTCTGTTCTGGCGCTACACTCCCGGTGTATATGTTTGACCCGTCAGCCGGGGTCACAGGTGGTTGACTAAGTTTGTTTCGTCGCGAGATTGGTTTAGGGCCACCCTTGTCAACGGGAAGTTCGAATCAAAAACCAAAATCGAGTTGGCTGTAACATTGCAGGTGGGGTTGCATCGAAAATCGAAATAGGGCGAAAACAACAGAGGTGTGAAAATCACCGGAAAATGCCCATTGCAATGACTCAAACGATTACCATCGGAGCCACAGGGCATCCCAGACAGCGAACGATAGTTTCGGGTTTCGGCCATGATCAAGTGGGTAGGGAGATCTCGGTCTCGCATCGATACGCTGCGAACTCAAGGAGAAGTATGTGATCGGATGCCCCGACCTGGCGTAGGAAAGCCAATACTGTACCGGGCCGTTGACAACGAATTACATGTCGGTGACCCTCCCCAATAATTGAGAGCACAGATCTCGCTCAACGAAAGGATGCTATGCTCTGTTGGATACCACCAGCTTCATGCCAAACTGTGGCTTGCATCGTCAAGCGATCCGTAGGTGGCTGTAGAGGAGTACGCAATGAAGGCATGTCCGATTTTAGCGGGTGTGGCAAGCAGCTTGAAATCCAAGCGGTTGGCATTTTTTTTGTATGTTTTGGTCAAGTGTTTGATCAGTGCGGACAGATGGAGGTACTGGGTAGAGAGATCGGAACGGTTTTCAATGTGAAGAAAACAACAACGAAAACTCAACAAATTCATCTCTTCCACAGATAAGAAGAGCCCGCGATAGATTTGCAATGTATTCTACACCCTCGGGGGTTACCACGTATGAACGAAATAAATATTAAGTCATCACTGTTATCTGTGAAAGAGTTCTGTATGCTTTTGTAAGAGAAAACAAATAATGCATTGTACAAAACTTGGAGTAATCACCGAGAAACACATACCGAGCCAGTGAGCGTTTGCGACCTTCGGACAGAACGGGCCCGCAGCCAAGCAAGAAAAGCCACAGTCCTCCGGAGTTTTCATTGACTACTGTAAACTTACATTTACCAACACTTCAATGCCGACAACTAGCGACATGGGCATCCGGCATCCAAACGGTCACGAGAACGAGTACGTGGCTCGCGGTGGAACTGCCTACCCAAACCCGAAGCAGCAACGATTGCGCCGCACATTCTTTCGAAGCAGTCTACCGCAGCAAAAACTAAGTACATGATGAGCAGTCCCTGCACAACGAACGTTGCGGAATTAGGATTCTCCCCGCCCATGAATATACAGCAGATAGCATTCGCGCTTAAGGCCGCTATAGGTTTGGCCGAGGCTGGGGTTCTGAGGTCCTACAGCAGTTCACCCTACAAATTGACCCTAGGAAATATACATAAAAATACAGGACTACCTAAATATATATGTTGTTAGTGTATAATAGTCCAGAGAATTAAAATTAATTGGGCTCGACTACGTATGACTTTTTCTCAATTTTCGTAACTGCAAAGTTTTATTTTATTTTTTCGTTTTCAAAAACACAAAACACAACGTTCAGGCCGAGTCTTACGTTGTGATTATTTCGGAGATTTTTTTTTCTCTCGGTTGGGGGGGGGGGTGGTCTGCAAGGGAAAAATGATCTGGATCCAAACGACCTTCTTACGGTTCCTCGAGACAGATTTTTTCTCAGTCAGGGGAAAAAAAGGGCCGATTCAAGTCTTTGTGGGTCACAGCATGCTTCAGTTCACGGTTTTGGCTCGTGTGCGACCAACAAGACACCGAGTGCCCTGTTTTTGGGTCGCCTTCAGAGGGCATGTATATAATCGCACGCCAATGACTGCAGTTTGTGGATGTCGTCGGCCAAAGGCCTCTCTCGGGCATGCGTTGTGGATTGATCACTCACGCTCGTAGCAACCAGAAAAGAAGAGGCAACGTTCAAAAAAGTCAACATCGCAACACACTTCGGTTCACGTTAGAGGCCGTGTGCAATCAAAACTGGACAATACACTCTGCTTCCGGGACGCGAGCAGAGCGATTGTGTATGATCACACTCCATTGGCAGTAGTTTGTGGATGCCAGCGGCCGAAAGCCTCTCTCTGGTATGTGTTGTGGACTAGTAGCGGGTGACACACGGAGCAAACACGCGGCGGAACAAGAAAAAAGTAAAAAAAATCAACGCCGCAACGCACTTCGGTTCACGTTTACAGGCCGTGTGCAATCAAAACTGGACAATATGATCTGTTTCTGGGACGCGAGCAGAGGGTATGCATATGATCACACGCCACTCGCTGCAGTTTGTAGATGTCGACGGCGTAAGGCCTCTCTCTGGCGTGTGTTTTGACTGGTCACACATGTAGCAGGCACAACAACGGCTCTTTTCGGCCCAAAGACAAGAACGTCAGCAGAGCAATGTGGCAGGGTTGACGTTATCGGCTCGTGTGCGGCCAACACGACGCAGAACGCCCTGAAATTTTGATACCTGCAGAGGGTTTGTGCATGGCCTAATGATACTGGCCTCTGTTTGGCCAGCAGACGGTGTAGTTCCTCGTTCTGGCACGATCGGGGTGTGCCTAGGGGGTACCCCCCCCCAATTCCAAACTGGAAATTATCAGCCGATCCGGTTTGGAAAATGGGCCTATTTTCCAACGCGGCAGCTGGGATCCCAGGAAATATTCGGCGATTTGGAATTTGGGCGTTTGGAATTGGCCAAATCCCTCCGCGTAGTAAGACGCTCAAATAATCCCCCCCCCCAATAAAAATCCCGAAATAATCACGACGTAAGAAGACTCGGCCTCACAGGTCAAGTTCACCCACACTTTCTGACGCTATGAATCCATTGCTAATCTGTCTCAGACTCTTTTCTATGATAGAGATGGTTTCGCTGTGTCATATTAAGAAAAAAAAAAAAAAATCCAGCAAATGCGAGCAGCTCGTCTTTTTTTCGTTACACCAGACCATCCGTCTACTACCGAACCTACAACCGAGAGCGCACGCTGACGACGGATAGAACCACACATCACTACGTACCACCAACCCAAGACGAGCTACAGCTGCGGTGGGGTCCCGAGAGACTCACCCAGATCGGGCACATCCAAGGGCTGTGGCTACCTGTTTGCAGTCCAAGAAGCCACCCGATGTTCTTCAGGTATCTACGGTGTACATGTAGTCTCCTCACCTACCGCATAGCCAGCAGAATCCAAGAGTTTCAGGCTTGTGGACCTCACCCCCGTGGGCCGAGCTGTCGCCCTCTCCGGCGTCCGGCCGGGCGCCTCTGGGCGTTCCGCCTGTCTCGCTATGCTCGCCTCTCGCTCCGCTCCGCTTGAACGCTGGAAGCATCATGTACTTGTAGTGCTGTATGCGGTTCTAAGAATCTACGTAGAACTCATCTGCTGGCAAGTTCTGGAGGCATTCGAGAAGTTCGAACGTACGTATGTGGTTCCGGAGGTAGGTGCGGCGTACCTCGGCTTGGTAGCTTTCGTCGCACGCTTCTCCGTTCTCCGTCTAGTTGTCACATACACATCCACCCAACCACAACGAACCTCAAACATGAGCCACAGCTGTAGTGGGGATCCCGAGAGACTCGCCCAGATTGGGCACATCCAGGGCTGTGGCTACCTGTTTGCAGTCCAAGAAACCACCACGGGCTACCCTTCGGGGCTGCGCATTGTGACCGTAAGCCAAAACATCATGGAGGCCCCATGGGTCCAAGCCAGCTCCGAGTCCGACATTCTAGGCAAAGATCTAGGCGACATGTTGCGCGAAGAATGCGTGCAAACCGTGCGGGCTCTTGTCACGCGCTACACGCAAGCCAGCCAACCCCGCAATGACCGCATCTCCCCAAAGGTCAACAGGACCACGGCCGACATCTACTCGTGCCCAGCAGCCGCACACGCCGGGCTCGTGCCAGGAGAGGAAGATGATCCGACCAAAGCAGTGTTCACCTTCACGCTGACAGGCAGCAACCCGGGGGTATATCTGGTGGAAGTGGAGCGGAAGCATGGGCCTCACAGCGCCCGAGCCCAGCATACGCCCGGGTTGCTGCAGATGACCGATCTCATGGGGTGTATTCCCGTCGGGTCAAACTCTTTGGTATCGACGGCGGCCCTGTGTGACGCGCTCGCGGAAAATATGCCTGCGTACGAAAGGGTTGTAGTGTACCGTTTCGCCCCAGACGGCCACGGCGAGGTCATTCATGAATGCATCAAGCCGGGTTGTGAAGTTGAATCCTCATTTTTGGGCTGTCATTTCCCAGCTTCGGATATTCCTCCCATCGCGCGGAAGTTGCTCATGCTAAAGGGCGTTAGTTTCATCGCGGACACCTCCGGACAGAGGGTGGCCATAAGGTCCATTCCCGAGCGATCCTCGACCCCTCTCGATCTATCCAGGAGTGCTTTAAGGGCTCCGTCGCCATGCCACGAGCAATTTCTCCGCAACATGGGAGTGAGGGCTTCGATGGCCGTGGCCATCACGGTAGGAGGCGAGCTGTGGGGGAACATCAATTTTCACGCCTACACAAGGGCCGTACATCCGTCATGCGAAGAGCGTATACTGGCGGAAACTACGGTGACGTTAACTGGTGCGCTCATCATGCACTACGAGCGGCAGGAGATCGCGACGACTGCTCTCGCCTTGTCGCGCATGCTTGGAAGGCTCAAGGACTACCCCAGGGTAAATGATTTCCTTTCTAGTGAGCATCAGGCACTGCGAGATATCCTGGAGGTCGACACCATTGTCCTGTACGAGCACTCCCGATCCGCCACCGTCTATGGGAAGAAGGACATCTCCCTGACCCTGAGTGAGTGCATTGAGCTTCTCAACGGGGATGGGCCTGGCGAAACCTTGTGCTTTCGATCACTGGAGGCAAAAGGCGTCGCCTTTTTCTCTGTAAACACCTTCCTGATCGTTTTCCTTCGGGAGAACATCGCCGACCAGATCAAGTGGGCGGGCAACCCTGAGGCGATAATGCATGACGGGGAGGTTGTGCGACCCAGAGCATCCTTCCAACAGTTCATGGGAACACCAGCGGTGCCGTTCAAGTTGTGGTCGCCGGCGACAACGGACCTCCTCAACATGGTGCGCCGCGGATTCTCCTCGAAGATATACGCGGATGCTCTGCCCGCCGCCCAGCAAGAAACTTTTGCGCACGTCTCTCATGAACTTCGCACCCCGTTCCATGGCGTGATGGGGTCGCTCGAGATGCTGGAGGAGGGCCACGGAACCATGGAAGCGGAAGAACAGCTGGGAACCATTCACTCTGCTGTACGTTGCGGAAAGTCGATGCTATCCACGCTCGATGATATTCTCGACATCGCGAAAAATCGCAACAACACGGAGGTGGCTCGCCGCCGTTTCGCCGCGTCCAGCCCAATCCTTCTGGCGGTGGATGCCATGAAACCATTCGCCATCACCGAGTCGGTTGAGCTCACAGCGGAGACCGGACCACCGGACGATACGTTTGAGGTAGTCGGGGACATGCGGCGCATCAAGACTGTTGTGCAAAATCTGGTGAACAACGCCATCAAGTTCACCCCCAGGGGAGGAAAGGTGGCGGCATCCCATCGCGTTCTCGATTCCCTGCAAGACGCCACTGATTGGTGGACCAAGGAGACTAATCGTTTCGAGGCCAGCACGTGGATAGGGAGCCCCACAGGCGACATGACGGCCGTAGCATCTCAGGATGCAAGGTGGCATGTCTACTGTGTAGAAGATTCCGGGGTTGGTGTTCTGCCGGCGGACCTCCCGCATCTTGTAGCAGCGTACAAGCAGGTATCGCATGGCGTTCAAAAGTCGTACGCTGGCACTGGGTTGGGCCTCCACATCTGTAAAGCGCATGTGGAGGCGATGTTCGGTGCTCTCGGGATCGCTTCCACGTTTGCCGAGGAAAGCACAAGTGGGGGAACGCTGTTTGCCGTGATACTACCCCTGTGCTCTGTGGAAGAGGCAGGAGCGGTCGTCGATGCCGGTTCTAATGCTGGTGAGGACACTGAAAAGGCTGTGACCAAAGCAACATCGACCCCCTTTTGCCACAACATCGGATCCCGCAAGATTGCACTGATTGTTGTAGACGATCACACAGTGAACGTGAAGCTCATTGAACACAAGATTCGGCGGCATTTCAGGGGCAGCGGCGCCGATGTGCAGGTTTTGTCCGCCACCGACGGCTTGATGGCCTTGGACGTGCAAACGGCGGCACGACACGTCCGTGTCGGTGGATCGGGGGGCCTAGTTCTTGCGGGAATTTTCATGGACTTTCACCTGCCAAACCTTGACGGGATCGAGTGCACAAGGAGGATCAGGGTGCTCGAGGCCGCCAACGGTTGGCCTAGGGTCACCATATGCGGCTGCACCGCCGATGTTACAGAAGGTGTACGAAGTTCGTTCCAAGACGCGGGGGGGGACGAAGTCATCCTGAAGCCTTGGCGCCCGGGCCAGGTGGAACGCGCCTGCAATGTCATGGTGGCTAAAGCTTTGGACGATGACCACCAGAGCGGGGTTGCAGGGGTCTGAGGACCGCGTGTCCCTGGAAGGTGCATACGAGGCGCGATGGTGAGTTTATTGGTTTCGGGGAATACTCGATGCTCTGCCTCATCTTCCCATCCATCAAATCCTATCTTGTCCGGGACACTCGATTTTTGGCTTGAGTTTGTCGGCATTTGCTCGTTGTTACTGGGAGTTGGCCTGTCTCAGAGATCTCCCACGCTTTAGGGTAGCCGCCCCTCCGCCTTGTTGGTTGGCCTTGTTGGTTGTTGCACCATATTGGTTTACGGAGCACTCACGTGCAACCGAGGTGGCTTGGGTTTTCATAGATGAAGATATTTTGCGTTGGTCTTTCACAACGCGGGCCCAGGAACCCTACCTCGCTTTCCCCGTTTCGCGGCGCAAACGAAAAAGTCCTCCCAGCTCGATTTCCTTGCCGCGGGATCGGAGTCAACGCGTGAGGCCGAAGCGTAGCAACGCGACCCAATTCTGACGATATTGTTTTTCTGTCCCCAAGTAAAATCTAGACAAACGTTTGGAGCTTCAAACACGAGTGGTAATGCAGATCTATGCATACCTATGTTTGTGTGTGGAATTTCCACAGGTTTATATGGTTTCCGCCGAAATCCCCCCCCCCCGCCACCGGGATTGGTCTACACGGGGTGCGAGAGAGAGAGAGACAGAGTAAACTACACACACCTGACGGGTGATGGCGCCTTTTTGCAAATAACCCACGGGTGGCGTCAACTGGGAGGATTGATTGCTGTGCGTACGTAAATGTGTTTGATGTTTCCGTGCCTACAACGAAATCTGGTGCGGCGGGTTGTCTGCGGACCTCGATGCACACATGGTTGACGACCCCGTACTGTTTTGCGGAGCAAATCTGAAATTTGAGGGCTGTGCGCTGTACTGTGGGCAGGTCAGTGCCAACGAACAGGGGGCAACAATTGCTCCTCGGAATCTCGCATGCTTACAGGCAGCACGTTTGCGGAGCAACAGCGAGAGGAACGAGAGTAAAATATGGAGAGCAGATGCAGAATAACGACGAAGAATCCTCCCCGCCCATGTATGTTTTGAATTACATGTGCAGCAGTATTAATGATTTTTCGGCCCTGGCCTATTGGCCCTGGCCTTTAGCTGGATGGAGTTGATACAACTTTCGACATCAACCGTCTTTTCCATCCTCTTCGAGTTTGTTTCCGTGCAAGGTTCTGCCACATAAATTCAGGCTGACGAAACTTCAACTTTCTTGACCAAAAAGCTCTTTCTCGTGTTCTCTGCGGCAGCTTGCATGCTGTATGAACAAGGCAATGCTTCATGCATTGGACTGACTGTACATAAACTGTGCCACAGAGCCATTAAAGGTGCCCCTTGATGTGCGGTCTCGCCATCTACATTTAATGGTTTTCCCCTACCGCAAACCGGAGGACAAAGGCCCCCACGCCATCGGCTTGTGTTACCGACTTTGTTTTTCCCTCCCATTTGGTTGCCTCTCTCTCTCTTTCGTTCATTTTCCCTCCCATTTGGTTGCCTTTCCCTGCTTCGTTCCCGAATACAGGCGTATCCTACGATGAAGGCTCAGCTTGGACTACGTGATCATGTCGAAAGGCGGACAGGATTAAGTTATGTGGTGCCCGAACTACGGGACCTTTTTATTTTTCACGAGCGACGGAGAATGCACGCCTGGATAAAAGTCTTGTTGCTTGCGTAAAGGTGTGGCGGGCCGGTATCCCTCTGTGTTCTGGATAGAGCAACTTAGCTGTTTGACTGGTGATTCACCGGTGTCCGAGTACGTACGCAATGGTGGTGAATTGGAATGAGAGCGCCGTTGCTTTGTTCATGGAGACATGATGATGGTGTCAGCCGCGACGTTTATGTAGTTCATTCCATCAAGTCTCGTTGGTTGGTAGATGGATGTAGCTATTTTTCTGGGACATACATATGTCGGGAAATGTTGATTTCTTAAACACCGTTATTTCCTACTGATATGTTCTTGGCTCCCGCGAGAGTGTACAATTTTTGACGTCTTTTTGTAACGCGCTTGATTCCGAATAAAATCGAAACCGCGTTCAGAGAGCCCCGGCCTTTTATTTTGCCGGCCTTGGACTTGGTGGAAACAGCTAGCGTTGATTGCAGGGACGCACCTCCGCTGGAGGCAGCTTTTCAGGAAACACAACTTGGATCAGAACAGAAAAAAAAACACAATTCCCTTGAGTTGCTTGGTTCAACGCTAAGTCTGCTCGGGTGTGTCACCGTCACCGGCTTCTTGGCGATCTCGAGAAGCTTCCACGTTTGTTTTGTGAAAGTGACAAACCAAAACGGCAACACAGACAACAAATCCCCACAGCGCGGTTCGACGGAGCACGCGCGCACCACCCCCCCCCCAACCAATATTGCACCGGGGTGATGGTCTCACCTGCGTTCTTCATCCCCACCCGTCTGGCATTTGTCCCCTTCTAAACGAGGGCGGCGGGGGGGGGGCGTAGATCGCGATAAATCACCTTCGAGGCGTCCTAATCCTTTAAGGGAGTTGATGGGTTCTTTCGAGTTGACGAGCCAAGACCGCACGGCGCACGCGGAAACTTCGAAAATAACAATGAAGGAGACCTTCAAAGATAGCACAAGTTATTCGAAGTGTTTACAAATAATCGGTTGTATGCATCAATTTGATTGCACAAACAAGCATCGATGAAGAGCAAGAGGAGACAGCAAAAGGCGCGAGACAGACAAGAGGTTGTAAACAAGAGAACGGGCAAAACGGTTCTTGAATGGGTCTCCGTTGAGTTTTCTGCAGCTGGAGCGACAACAGTGTGAGCGGGTGAGCGGGTCGCCAAGAAAAAGGGACACCATCCGCATTACGCGTGGTTATCCTTCGCATGGGGAGCTCCCGCGCTGCACACAGGGATGTACTGCCACTCCCAACGATGCGCCCAGAATCGAAGGTCTACGGCGTGCCTAATTGTGTGTGGTTCGGCGAGCAGCGTGTGTCGGGCTCGTTACTGCCGCCGCCAGTTTTCCACACCGTCGGCAACCGCGGTCGATACCTCACTGGAAGTCTTTTATCGCGGCCTTACCATACTTAAGTTTTTTCCTAGTCAACTCGACCACAGCCATTCATTTCGTTTTGCTTGAGTTACGAAGTTGTTGCTGGTAGATTATTTTGCTTTTTCCCTCTGAGTTCTTGGGAAGAGAGTCCCCCCACAAGGTTCGTCTGTCTTGTTCCGCCTTTGAATCTTTGGAAAATGAGCTCCCCAAGTTTCGCCGGTATTGCCGACGACAGACTGTTTTCCCTAGTGTTTGTGGCCTTGGAAGGAACGTGCTGCTCGTGCACCGTACTTCGGCATACAAAAATGGGGTGGCATCGACAAAAGCTTTGGGCACATCTGGATGAACCTAATTATCTCCATTGCACAAGCTCTCCCCGACACGGCAAGAAGGGAATCTTCTGAGGGTAGCAGGAAGAAACCATTAGAAAAAATATACATCCACTCAAAGTGGAGCAGAGGAGACTGACGGAGAGGATGAGGATTGTGGCTGCCAGCCATTTTGACCCTACGACAACAATGATGGCCAAGTCCTTAGTGCCCAGAACGCGGTTTTAGACAACGTAACCAGACCAAACAGGCCAGCTTCATCCTCTGCCACATATTACAATCAGATGGCCGGGGATAACGTTGCGGCCGTCCGCTGTGCAGAGGCCAGGAACAAGTAATGGAGTTCAACCATGATTGACAAGATGAGGATCTCTCCAAATCTCTCCACAACTTTTATTCTTCTCGGTTTCTGTCGTCATATCCTGCTGCAGATGGATGCATCCACAATGCGCGTAAAGAATCGGGATGCGCCCTCGTTGAGAGAACCACTTGGCAAAACCTCTGGGTATACGCTGGACTCGTCTAACCCTGTGATGAGTGATTTAGCGAGGATGAACTCAACGATGGAGACAATTCTTCTAATACAGGAGTAGAATTGAGAGACGAAAGGAAAGGGAATGGTGTGGAAGAGAACAAGGACTTCAACCCATCAGGTCTTCCATACGTCCGTCGACAACGACAAAATGCAGGAAATATGAATCTTCCAGCGGCCTTGGAGAGATCCCGAACGAATTGCAGGAGCGAATGCTGAAGTATTAATAATCGTGGCTAGCCCAATGGGGGCAAAAAACAATCGGATAGGGAGTTAAACCCAGTTCAGGGTAACGATGCTAGAACCAGAGGAGCAGATAACACAGCGGCAATGCTACGTGGTGGTGTTGAGTCTTCTTCTTGTGCTTCGAATCCGGAAGCTGTGCGCTGTCGTCCAACGTCCAACCACCTCGACGCCCCCCCTCTCGGCGGAACCCGCAGACTAGAAAGAGTGCTCGCAGTATTTGGTCTTCCCGCAATAAGTCTGACGTCCTTATATTTTTCGGCTGCCTAGCGCGGTCGATGCTATCTGCAGAAAAATACACGGAGGCTGGCGCTTGTGGTTCAATCTCCTCTGCCCTGGAGAACCTGCGGATTAGAACGCGTGCTTGCGTTTCTTGTTCCGTTTCAAGACTTTCCTCTCTTCCATAGCCCGGTTAGCGCGTTCGATTATATTCTATTTTGTTGAAGAAGCACACCCACAACCAATGACCAGGCCGTGACCGCGCGAGGACCGGCATGAGCAGCAGCAGCGGCAGCAGCAGCAGCAGCAGCAGCAGCAGCAGCAGCAGCAGCAACCCGGGCGACGGATTGTCACGATGATGGTACCGGCTTGGCGGGGTTCAGCTCTCGACGTCTACCTACAACGTGAGCGCCAGTATCGCCTATCGACAGCAAAAATGGGGATGCGGCCTTCTTAAACCAAGGGTAACGTCCATGCCTTCCATCTTTCTTGAAACCTCATCGTCGGAAACTGTGTTTCATCGCGAATGGTTGGGCTCTCTTTGGGACCATTTCTTTTCTTCTCGTGCCTTATTGTGGCCATGGGGAGCTCTGGAATAACAGAGGTCAGGGCCAAAGCAAACACAAAGGCCCTGTAACCACGACAGCAGGAATCAAGAGGGGGGGGGGTACGAGAGGTGCCTCTGTACGCCAGGTTTCAACTGGCCCACACAGGCATTTCGTAGTAGATGGAAACTCTGGTCAATCACGATTTCTCGGGAATGTCGGGAAAACGCATCATGGTAACCGTTCTCTCTCACACAGATAACCTTCCTAACTGACTGCGTTCCTTCCAAAGATGAACAAGCAAAGCAAAACTTCAACCATTGTTCTATTCTCACCTCAGCGCTTTCTGGGCTTTCAAGCAACGGAGGCCGAGTGCAGGCGACTCCTCCACGCGTTGACTTCATCCAGAGTGCTCGCGTGGACCTGAAGCATGTTCGACACCCGTTCATGATGTGTTTGAATTCTGTCTGGCTTCGCTGACGATAGCTCACTCTCTCTCTCTAGCTCTTTTTCTGTCTGTGTACATCTCTATCAGTGTTTAAGAAAAGTTGCTCGTTTGGCTCTCACTTACATCAAGAAATATCAGTTGCGAAACTATTTAGTCGGTGCCGACGCACGTGTGAGAGGGAACGGGACATAGAGGCGAAAGGACCGGGGGATAGAAAATAATAGCGACATGAGAGAAGAAGCAGAGGTGCAGAACGATTGAATAGAGACGAGCAGTAGAGTTGTCGAGCGGTGTGCTTCAAACAAGGGTACTGTCATCCCTCACGACCCATTCCACGACACACAGTCTACGTATGCCCTATGTGGCTCTGTAAAGAATGTGATGCACATCTCAGTCGTCGTTGAAAGGGTACTCAACGCCTGCAATGCTTGTTGTATATTTCGGTAGGCTCATGGTGAAATCAACAGAAGAGCCTCGAACAGGGTTTTCGTGGGGGTGAGAACCTATCCTTCACATTGCATCACAAAGACGAAAATAGAAACAAGAACGTTCAACAACCCTGCATGCTCGTTACGGCCCCATTGAGGGTCCTTGTCGATGTTACCACTTCTACATACTATTTCTGCCGTTACCACTAAAAATTAACTTCCTAACCGCCGGCATCTTCCCTTGTCGTACAAAGAAGACTACTGTCACCGCCAACCCTAAACCTATTTGGACGAAATTATTCTACGCGAAACACAATAAGTGGGCGGAGAAAAAAAAACACGTCAGCGAAGATACAAGGTAGAGTTCCGCTGACGTCTTCGTTCACGTCGCTGGACATCCCTGTCACTCTCGCCAGCATGAACGCAACAGTCTAAAGAAGCGAGGAAACAGTACGACGAGGTGCCCACAATATTTCTCGAGGGCAGTCTCAAACATTGCAAGGGTACGGGTTAGAGCGATTCTCCTGTGATACCCGAAATAGGAGCTCTTCAGTGGAAATAGACAAAACCGCAGGTTATGTAAACTACATGCTACAAGCGATGGCAATCGATGGGATGAACAAGCGTAAATCGCACATCGTACCTAGTAGTCAACGCGTGTTCGTGAGCATGCTTGCCGGCAGGGCGGCTGGACATTCCTCCCGGTAAGTTTTGGGCCAGCACCGCGGGATTGTCTTTTTTGCCACCCCGGGCCGAAGGTTTTCGTAGCGATATAGAGGCAAGGCCGTAGTGTAGGTGGACTCTGCGAGTATAGGAAAACAAAAGGGAGGGAAAACAGTAGAGCAACATGTGCACTGCACCTGAAAGTTCGTCCGGCCGGCATCGTCTGGCGTACGTAGAGACGCAAATACCAGTAGTGCAGCCTTCTTCGCCCATACGCTCGCCCCCTGTAGCGTCAGCCTCGCCCTCTGCGTTGGGTTCGGAAGGTCTCGCAATTAGTGGTCTCCAGTCATGACTGCATCCTTTTTCGTTGTTCTCATACGTTGCCTTTGTTGTCCGACGACATAGTTGTGCGCATCTTCTGTCGACAGGATTTACTTCGAAATATGATATCCGAAAGGAACAAAGATGTGCAGCGCCTTTATTTCCTTCGCGTGATCAACAATGATCCAGCGATCAAGCTCGAGAGCAAACCTCTCTGGACCTCTAGGTTTTACTTCACCGGAGGCTTCTGAGAGTAGGCTTTGCTGTACAGACACAGGACGCCGCTCGCGAGGACCCCGAAGTACCTCGATGGCCGCTCGGTCGGCGCGTTGAAGCGGCCCGAGGAGAACGTCACCTGACAAGGACATCAGTGAATACGTTGCGGGTAAACTCTATAGTTGAAGCATCTACACTCTGTTGATCCATGCCGTCGAGCGGTATCAACCACGTTTCCACCCACCAATGTTGCAAAAGCGACGGAACGCGTGGAATTTTCACCAAGAACTGACACATACTAGTTTTATCGGGCGTACCGATTGTCGAGGATACCGCCAGCAGAGACAGGAGCACGGGTCAAGATACGTGAATGTGGTCGGGCCCAGCTCTATTTTAGGCCGCAGAGTCTCTTGCTCTACCCCACCCTCTCTTCAGTCGGGTGAAAAGACGGTACGTCGAATTCTGGCCGGACGTTCGACTGCGGCTACCTAGATGTCAGAGCCCAAAGGCCGCTCTTCCTGCTGGCAAGCACCACGTACATGAATGTACCCGCATTTCGAGGCAACGTCGCTGAAGGGCCCGATTCTCGCGCGAATCGTCACTCCTTTGGGCAAGTGGTCCGGAGTTGCCATCTAAGCAACAGCGAAGACCGAGTTTGACAGGGCGGTGATGGGCGGGCACGCATCTGGTGGTAGTACCACGGCAATGAAGATAGCGCCATTTTCCACTTTACAACATATCGACTGAGGTTCGGACTGCCTGCGAAGGAAAACAAAACCGCCTTTCGTTGACAATGATATTTGTCGCATAGACAAACCTAGGGTGTACACGTGAAAACTATCCTGACATCGGTATAAACGGTTCCCTACGCTGAGTTACGAGCGCCATGGAGCACGGCGGAGGCCTCACTTGCAAAGTGTCCACCGGGAAGTATTGGGAACTGAGCGGGAGAGAAAAGTACCGGCTAGTCCCTCTACATAGGTCCTTGTTGAGATGGGCGTGCGCTTGGCCAACCAAAACCGGTGGCGCCGCTGCCGCCGCCGCCGCCGCCGCCGCCGCCGCTGCAACTTTTGCCGCTGCCGCCGCTGCCGCCGCCGCTCTCCCTCGCTTTCCTTTCGTTGGCGACGCCTTTTCCTTAGTCTCGTGCGGGATACTCTGCTCAGGGAACGTACAGGGGGTTGCTCACGCCGAGTATCGGCAACGCAGCGGAAAACACGGTGGAGCAAGAGGGGAATGGCGAGAGCAGCGCGAGTGAACCGTGTTGCAATGGTGGCCGTTTCTGTTTCTCTGTTGCTGTAGTCTCTCGGGCGCATGAGCTCGGAGCACGCTCAGAGTTGCTCAGTCATGTGTCACCACAGCTACAAACTAGAAGGGAGGCAGGGGCGGTTGGTCCAAGAGAGAAGCCCCGATGGCGTGACCTCTTGGCTCCAACCAAGCACATGCTGGATTACAGGCTGAGGGGTACTGGCATATGAGACAAGCTGAAAGAGGGGGGGTGAAGAGAAAGGAAGCAAGGGTACCGCGATCAACTTTAGAATATCTTGATACAGAAGAATATTTGGGGTGGTCTATATATGCAGTCGGTAATACGGTAGTTATTTCATGGTCACAGGGTTCAGTACGTGCTCATCGCCACAACAGCAGCGATTTAATCAAGAGAAAATATTGCAGCTGAGCTCTCGCCTGCCTTACGTTCAGCAACCTCGTGTTTTGGTTTTCGGAAAGTTGCTAACTTCAAGGCAACCTCGAGATTGTTTTCACCTGACGCACAACGGTGAAGACTGCTGTAACCCAAGGCTTGGTTCCAGGAACGAATATCTTTTCCAGGGCGATACGACAGGACGAGACGCCGACGGAGGTCATGGAGGACGTTAGAAACAAACACACAGAGTAGCTGAACGAGTGGGGGCGCCCGGAATCATGGTACATGCCGTGCGGGAAGCAAGAGAGGGCGGGAGGCACGACGTGAAGCACGCAGCTATAGTCTAATCTAAAACCATATACAATTGCTAGTTATCCGCAACGGCTAGCGCTACCCTGCTGTCCTTGACGGCGGAGTTTGCAAGAAAGGCCAAGCCGCGATTTTTGACAACATGAGCCAACATGCCTGAAACTACAACCTTACCAGCAACAACAGCAGACAGCACCACGACCACAAAAAAAACAGCACTTGACCTACTTCGCTGCTGAACTTCACGCTGGCTTGCTCGGTTGCCGATCCCCCGATCATCGACCGGGGGGTGAGAGGCCGTGCTCCACCCTTGTTCATCGCGGCAGGAATCCCAGCCGCAGCCGCAGCCCCAGCCGCCTCGACATCATCGGCCGTAGCAGTGGTAGCGGCAGACAAGGCTGGTGTGTCGAAGCGAAAGAGCTGCACGGGCGGGGCGGAGCTCTCGATTCCTACAGGGGCCATGTCCTGGATGACGGTGACCACGACCCGGTACTGGTACTGGTGCAAACACGGGTGCCATGTCGTATCTGAAGCGGAAGAGGTCTTGCCGTTGTTGCCAGTGCTGAGTGCTTGAGGCTTGTGGGTAAATGACGGTGGGGGAGGGGCCAAAGCGAGCACTCAAGACGACGCTCAGAAAAGCCGTGGAGATCTCCAATCACACAAGGAAGTCACCGAAAGAAGACGAAGAGTACAGACAATGCTCCAGGGGGAGCTTCTCCCTACTGCCTCAAGTTCTACTTTCGTCACAGGTGTGTTTCGCGTCACGTAGACTATAGTTTTACCGGTTTTAGTCATGTCGCCCAAATTGCACCGGATTCCTGGGCGTTCGCGTGAAACGTTCGCTCACTATCGCCCCTGTTTCTCTCGGACTTTATTCGCGCTGTGATTGGTTGGTTGCATTGCCAGTGTTTACTTACATTGCGGACAGTTCTTGAGGCGATCGTAAGACCGTCGACACCCACCACCTCCAACGTCCAAGCTCTGAAGTGTGACTGGGGTGGGCGACAGGAATGGGTTTCAAGGACTGGCCTATGTTGGAACCACATCCAGCGTGGTCATGTTTACGGTGTATGTAGTACCTCGAAAGCAGTATTAAGAGATGGAAAAGAAGCGTGATGGTCAAGGCCACGTTACGGTCGCATCGAGTGTCGTCGGAAAGCAGTGCAAGCACACCAAACGGATGTACCACATGATATCCATCCCATGTACGCCACCTAGCACTATTGTTTCGCTCAAACATCTCGACGAACGAAACACTGCACGTGGTATATGGAATGAGGGTGTGAAAAAAAAATGTTAACGTGGACCCAAGCATGGTAAAGGCATGCGGCAGCGGCACTCTCACGTGTTTGAGCGCGTCCTGCTTGCGTCTCGCCCGTGTTCCTCTCCACCTAGCTTGAACGAACGTTATGCCGTCTAGCACTGTGCGTTGTTGTGGGTCATACTATTGAGCGCCGGGGAGAAGCACAGTACACAGCACGAGCAGAGGCAGTGAGTACACCCAAAATTAGAAACAGGACGTTCTCGATACCGTGGGAAGAAGGGACAAACACATAACCATTCCTCACCGCCTACGAGTACCCCGAGGGTGTTGGTGTTCTCCGTGCGAAAGGCGTCCGGTGGAGTCAATGAGCACGGGATCTACGCGAAGAGTAGCAGCGTCAAAAGATAAAAAGGCCTTTCGGACCAAAATCCATACCAGCACCAGCACACCTGACTCGACTCGGCGAAGGAAGGCCTCATAACAGTACAAACCTACCTCCTCGTCATCGTCTAAGCCCCCCGAGAAACCACCCTTCCAGTTACGGAGACGCGATTGATCACTCGTATCACAGGCCGCCGCCATCACCGCCGCTGGTTTGTTGGATTTCAGGCATTCAAAAAAACAACAGCAATGGGGAGGGGCAAGATTTGTTGAGTTTTTCACGCCCCAAGCCAACCCGACCCATCTACTCGTCGCGTTTTGCCAGTAATCTAACTGAGAATAGTATTTTTTGGATCTGGTTTTGGTCTCATTGGAGTGTAGTAGCAACCCTCTTACCCACAGGCCCTCAACAACACGTACAGATCACTGTCGAAGGCGTTGTGAAGTATGAGGCAGGGCAATCTAGCTTCGCACGTTTGTTGCTTCAAAGCTTTTTTCCTGGGGGACAACTTGGCCGACACCACAGCACACGCATCATCTGACAGACTGCGTACGGCCAGGGGTTATGCCGTCCAGGCGTTTCGTCAGAACCTTGGCATTCTATATTCCTGGAGGTATCCCGGAGGGGTGGGGTACCTTGCATGCCCCCTCATCACGATTCTTATTGACAGGCCCAGAGAGTGGTGAAAGTTAAGGTTTACACCATCCTGAGTGTATGACAGCCATGGTGTGTTGAAATCTAACGTCAGGCACAATCCGGACCACCCGTAAACGCCCACGCTTCCTCGTTCATCCATCGGGCAGAGCTACCACTCGCCCTTTTCTTCCATTTGCAACAGGTGCTCCTTTGTGCAGTGTCCGCACACCCATACTCGAGGCTCATGTCCGGCTTCAGAACCGCTGGTATCGCTGGCACCATCACTGCTTCCGCCCAATACACCACTATCGTCGTCGTCGAAGGCCGTTCTCTGAGGATTTTGTCCGAGAACGGCCCGAAGATCGTTCCCAATACCCGTTCCGCATTCGGCGGGAGAGCGCGTTCCGCCTTCGGCCTCCAGGACGGCGTTGTGAAGGCAGCCAATGTGAGCGACGATGTCGCAGACGATGCACGGTACGCGAGTTATCCCCGAAGAGACCACTCGCAGACAGAAGTCGCACCTGAACATGCGCTCCCAGATGTGAGGCTTGCGCCGTTAGTGTGCACGGCGGCCCGCAGTCGTGTTCAACAGGGACCGAAATTAGCCAGGGTGAGCCGTGAAACACAACGGATGGGGACAACCATTGGTGTGGGAGTGGAGTCGGGGAGAGTGGCATCTGGTTATGAAGCCACGAACGCCAGGTTATGACGGTGGTGAAAAAAATTGCGCGAGTACCGTGAGTAGATGCAAAGGTGGTAACAGATTCCCTCGCAGAGCAAACGCGCCAAAAATGCTGACCAGAGGCGTAGAGCGGAGGCTACCAAAACTAAACCTGCCATTCACATGCCTTACGGCAGTATTTAGTCTTGAGACGCTTTCAACCAGAAATGTAGCGACGACATTATCCTGTCCCCGCTTACCTGCCAGGGCCGAAACGGGTAGATTTTCTCTTCCCTTGGCTTTGGAGGCTCGCTGGCCTTCATCATCATTCTCATCCGCCGAAGGTACATCGGGTTCGCCGCGGAAGTACCCCTCTGAGGTTCGTCAGATTCCAAAGAGATCTGCACGTGCACAGCACAGCAGTGGGCATATCGTCAAGCTCTGTCAACGTCGGGCCAGACACACCATTGGCATCATCCCGTCCACAACAACACCATGCTGACGGATGGATCTTGTTTTGGCGAGACAACTTGTGCATTCTTGTGAACCGCTTGACCCTATAACCCCCGGATGGTCTACACGTTTTTTAGGGGGGCCGGTACCTGGGGCTGGGAGCCACGCACTTCGCGTTTGAGCTGCCACTGCTTGCTCCCGAGTGAGCGGGAGTTGAGGACATTTCCCCAAGCCCTGCAAAATATTTATGTTTCGCATGTTTCCCCGTCGGTGAGACTTTTCACGAGGGATTCATCACTCGTCCCTTCACCTTCTCTTCGCGCACGCAAAAAGTATCGGCAGTTTTTCCCTCCAGATGCTGCGCCTTTGTACTATCGACGCTTCTGACATATGTTGAAAGCGAGGCGAGGGAAAATTCCCATGGGTACTAGTTTACGGAAGGGTCAAACTCACGTTTTTGGTTCTTCTGTCCATGTACAGGCTCGACCATGGCCTTCGGTTATGCCCGTGTACCCTAATATGCTGTCGGGCGTAGAACGCTTGCATCATTGCTGGAGTTTTTTCAGCCGGAAAGCACGCGGACGTGCCGGCAAAGCGATGTTAGAGGGATAGGAGTTGCCTTCGAGAAAGCAAGCAACGCTGTAAATGGCACGGAAATCGTCGGTGGAGAATGAGAAAGGACCGCCTCCTTTCGCCTTTCTCCTTGCATAAAACAACTGTTTAATCGATTGTTCGTGTACAGGCTAACGTGGAGCGGAGCGCGGGAGGCGGGGTGGGGTGGACATTGGAGCTAACGTTGGTGGAAGGAGCCCTCACCAGAAGGATTGGATCTGAGCGAGCGGGATAAAACCCGAGCGAGTTCACTGCGGCTGGGCTGGAGCTGTTCAGTAGGTAGAACACCAGGCCTGGCCACAAGGCCCAGCGGGTCGACCCTCCTGCGATACACAGTTTGTGGGGAGATTCCATTAACTGCGTGCATTTCACACATACATAGTCCAAACATTGTATGCGCGCTTCGCGGTTAGAGCGTGGTTTTGGCCCCCCGTCAGAATAGGGAAAGATCATCGCATCGTACTACTTGTGTACGCACGCTACATTAACTACCAGCAGTAGAGGCCCTACAATCTACACAGCGTTCGGAGCGGTGTTGTGTAAACGCAGTCACAATATTCTAGGGGGCGTTTGTGCTTTCTATCTACTAGACGCCTCATCCTGCGTGTATAGAGGGGTGTTCACAAAATGACCCGGCAAAGCAGGGGTGCGCGCAGATAACGCTCGGACACAGCTAGTCATCCAACAATCGACGCGCGTGCCTCCAGTTTGGCTTGGGGAGCCTGATACGCCCAGGTCTTCGTAGGGATTGACAGGATACTTTTCTTCAGGTCTTTTTTTACTTGCACAGGTACTACTGAGGAAATATTTTCGCGTATTGGCTCAGCTTCCGATTCTCGGCAACAAGCTCAAGGTTCTTCTTTTTCTGTAAGATTTTCAACTTTCTCCGTTTGCGTTTGTTCCGGGCCGAGTTTCAGTTTTTGAAGCAAAATTTCGTGCTTTGATGCAGGGCGTTTGGATTTTTGTGTTCATTGTTTTTAATGAGCCGCGGAGCGAGCGAAGCGATCGACATTTTTTCCCTTCGTCCCCAGGAGGGTAAAAAAAGGCTCCATATATCGGCCAAAGTTGCGCCGCGCGATACAGGGCCCCCAAAACTTGGTTTCCGAGAAGCCTATTTAGCACACCTTTGGGACCAGAAGGAGATCTATAGGGCACCGATTGACGATCTGCTCGCTTCTGAGGAAGAAGGAAAATAGCGCGCTCTTCTCCAAACCGGTTTCGTCGTGCTCCGAGAGCAGATGGCCGTGCTTCACCGGCATGTGTAGCCTATATTCGTAGGAGATTTTGCTCCCCAACCCCAGGGTTTCTACGCGAAAAGGCGTGCACAAAAGCGGAGATCGCGCGCGCGATTCAGACCCGGACAAGAAACACCGACAGAGACGCAAGAACACCACCAACAAACGCATCACCGCTGAGACGCTGGTCTGAGACCAGCTATGAAAACCAGGAGGGGCCGGGCCTATACGACCTGTGCACCGTGGGTATACTGTAGGCATGCGCCATGTGTAAACCTGGCGGGTATTTATTGATGTTGAGTGGGTCCAACCAACTGCTTCAAAAAGAGCAGACCGATTATCACACAAATAACACACCTTCCCAGGTCCAGATCACACCGACCATCATCGAGAGGATCCGTCGAGGGCGTGAGGGTCTACTACTGCTGCTGCTGTTCGTTATCAGGATGGTTCCCCGCGGGATCGGTTCAGATTGCGTACTTGCGCCGCGCTACTGACTGTCTTCGCAAAGAAAGCCGTGCCCTGCATGCTGTTGTTGCTGCTGTAGGGCTGCAGCAGGGCCTCTCGGCCTCTCGCATCAAAGTCATGACGTCACATGACCATCAATGGCTTTAGTTGTTTTTGGTTCATGCTGGACTGCTTGCTTTCACTTGGGCGGGAAACTCGAAAGGCTTAGGACGAATGTGGCGGGCAAGTTGTGAGCCTGACGCAATATTTGCCATCTGTCGTGTCACCATTCTATCTCTACGCTGCTGGTCGTGTTCCTCGACGGTGTGATGTGTTACACGCTCGCCGCCAGGGGGGTGCCGCATGTATGTGTGCTTCTTCC